TTCTGATCCAGGAGACAGACTCAGCAGCCAACATGACTAGTAGTAGCCGCGGCCGCCTTATCTTTTTCCGTGGAACTGACAAGTCGTCCTTTGACGCCCCCCCCCCCCGCCAGCTGGCAGCCCTCCGGCAGTTGCCCCCAGCGAGCGCATCAGGACATGCCTGGATCGGAGGAGGGCAGCGAGCGGACTCTGCCAAGGCTCTGCCTGCTTTGCGAATGCCAAGATCAATAGGCACACCCCAGGTTGACAAGGCGGCCAAGGACGGGGGGGGGGGGAGCCCTCTGCCATCCACCTGGGTGCTGAGAAAGCCCTCCCTCTGCTGGTGCCCAAGGCTGGGCTGGCGCCTCCCCACTTTCCTTCCTGATCTGGGGGCTACGGGACCCCTCCCTGTTCACATGCAGGGGCTCATCTGTGCATCTTCGTTTGCAGACATTTGCAAATATTTTCATATGCAAATTCGGTGCGCAAGTCTTTATGACAGCCTTGTTTGTGGAGCTGCCCCGTTATCTCAAACAAAGCAGCCGGGAAGATAAACCACATGCAAATGCCGCTGCCACGGCCTTCCTGAGAAAGCAGCCTCCGCTGCCCAGCCATCGCGCTCCACCTTCCTCACTGGACTCGCGAGCCGGGTCAGCTGCGTGCCGGGGTCCTTTAGCTGGGGCCGGGGCTATTTATTCATTTATCTCATGATGTTTATATACCATCTGATTGTTGTTGTTTTTTAAAAGAAAAATGTCTCAAAGCGGTTTACAGAACAGATAAAACAATAAAATCATTGCTAATAAAAATTTACAGCATTATTTTAAAACATCCAAAAGTTAAATGCTAAAGCAGATTAAAATCGCTTAACTATCTAAGCATTTGGGTAAACAAGATGTCTAAACAAGAATGTTTTAAGCAGGCACCGAAAAGAGTACAGTGAAGGCACCTGCTCAGCATCAATTGGCAGGGAGTTCCAAAGAGCCACACTAAGTTCTTACAAACGTGCAAACAGGTATTGCCCCGGCAGCTGCAGCTGCCATTCCACGTGTTGGGAAGTTGCTGCGCCGGCTGCCGGGCTAGGAAATTTGCACAAGATGGTTTTACAGGAGTGGTTCCCACAGTGGATGGTCGTGTCCCTTTGGGGTGGATTACCTGGGGGTGCTAAGAGGCAAGGGGGTGGCAACAGGGAGGCGCTGGAGGTGTAAAGGAGTCTCAGACTTTGAAAAGCTGGAATCATTGGATCCGAGGGCCTTCTGGCGGTTCCCTCGCTGCGAGAAGTGAGGTTACAGGGAACCAGGCAGAGGGCCTTATCGGTAGCGGCACCCACCCTGTGGAACGCCCTCCCAGCAGATGTCAAGGCAATAAACAACTATTTTACTTTTAAAAGAAAACTGAAGGCGGCCCTGTTTAGGGAAGTTTTTAATGTCTGATGCTGTATTGTTTTTAATATTCGGTTGGAAGCCGCCCAGAGTGGCTGGGTAAACCCAGCCAGATGGGCAGGGTATAAATAATAAATTATTATTATCATTATTATTATTATTATTATTATTATTATTATTATTATCAAGCTCATCAGTTTTGTTCAATTATTTAAACTACATAGTTTCAACTGCACTTCGAATGAATGCGCAATTAATTGGTCCTGTTTTGGATTTTATTGTGTTATTATCTTCCCCGGTGGGTCATGGGGCACTGGGGATGAGTTTGGGAACCACCACCCAGAGCCGTATTTTGCCTGCAACCCTGGCCTTCCATCCCTAGACTCTGTGGCCCCTGCGGAGAGAGGGAGGGCCTGGCCCTCTTGCACGGGGCCCACGAGGGACAGCCAACCGGCCCGACGACTTCCCCGCGTTCCAGTTTCGAGACGGGTCTGGCTCCTTCGCTTCCTGGAAGCCTGCCTGTCTGCCTCGCCCCAGGCCCCAGGCCGCCTCTGCCTCCGAGGTTTTTGTCCTCTCCTTAGCAAGGCTGGAGCTCAAGACAAACACAAAATACACCCCGATTACTGGAGGGCCAAACACGACAGGAAGACAATGCGCACATCCAGGTGGCAGGTGATGGCAATCAGCTCTGGTGGCAGGAGCCGCCCAGCCGACTCCCTCGAGCCGTGAGAAGCTATGGCGGAGACTTGGCCGTGGCGCATTCCTTCCTTCTCAGGGCGACGGGGGGTGGCTTTGGCCGGCTCCTTCCGAGGAGGTGGCTGGCGCTTCCGTGTCTTTGAACTGTGTCATCGGCTCCTGGCCAAGGACGCTCCCCAGCTCAAGGAATGCGCGTGGCAGAAACTTAACTCTGTATTGTCAAAGCTGACATGTGGTAACATGCTAGAAGTGTATAAAGTCACGCCTGACCTGGAGAAAGAGGAAAGAGAAAAGTTTTCTCCCTCTCTCAGAAGAGGAGAACTCTCAGGCATCCAAGGAAGACGAAGGCTGGGACATCTGGAACCAAAGAACAGACGTTTTTTATTTAACCAGCAATTGGAGATACATGTCTGGCATCACAGACCCACGCACAACTAGAAGCACAACTAGAGCATCTCTGGCAGAAGGAGCTCCTGGCATGAAGGAGAGCCCCCCACCTTCTGACACGGAACTGCTTGTGCACACAGTGAGGGCATTTGCTACAAGAAGCAGAGGTGGCCACCGGTTTGGATGGCGTTGAAAGGAGATTGTAGGCATGAATGGACAGGGCTGTCAATGCTCCTGGCCATGATGGCGATATTCCAGCTCCGCTGTGGGAGGCAGTCTGCCTCTGAATGCCCAATGCTGGGAACTGCAGGAGGGGACAATGGCTGCTGCTTGTGGGCTTCTTCCCTTTGAGGCATCTGGCTGGCCACCGTGAGAACAAGGAGCTGGACTGGGTGGGCCCCTTGGGCCTGATCCAGCTCCTACAGGGCTTTTCTGATAGACTTATACGGTTTGAGCACTGGTGGAGACACAGCTGACTTCCAACATGTGCAGTGCCAGATTTACACATAAGCTAAACAAGCTATAGCTTAGGGTCCCACTCTCTTGGGAGCCCCCCCCAAAATTAAAGAAAAAAAACCTGGATGTACATTTCCAAAATATAAGATAAAAAGATAAAAAACACATAAAATAAAACCTACACCCAGCAACAGTGTTTTGTGTTGTGTAGGCTCCTGTGATGTAAGTCATGGGCCCCGCCTGCTAACCTGCTCCCTAAAATATCACATATAAAGGGCCCCATTACCTTCAGTAGCCTAAACCTAAATCCGGCCCTGAACTTGTGTCCCAGATGTCTAGGGCTGGGACCACAGCGTTTCTCAAACTTGGGTCTCCCGCTGTTGTTTGACCACAATTCGCATCATCCAGGACCACTGGTCCTGCTTACTAAGGATAATGGGAGTTGCAGTCCAACAGCAGAGGGAGATCCAAGTTTGAGAAGCCCCGGCACTATGGAGTTCTTGCAGAGAGCATCTCAGCACTCTGTGTACTTCTCCTAGTCTCAACTCCGCTCTCCCCCAAGTTGATGCCATTCAAATGATGTGTGTGCACTGAATCTAGTGATCAATTATGTGGGGTGGGGCTTACCTGCCCCCCCATATTTTATTCAAGTTGGCACCTCTTCCTGCATCTTCTCCTTCTCTGTACCAAGCCAGGTCCACAGGGGCCAAAAGCCACAGTGAGGAAGGAGACGTGGCTGGCTGAGCAGGTTGAGCTGCCTCCTCCTCCTCCTCCTCCTCCTCCTCTTCCTCTGGCAAGGATGGTTCTGGAAGAATAAACAGCCCCACACAGCAAGCTGCTCTCCTTGCTCTCCCAGCCTGGTTACTCTTCCCACTGGGCCGCCCAGCCCAGCTCTGCAGACAAGACGAAGGCTGAGGCCATGTCAGTTCTCCCTGGGACGGGGGGGGGGGCGATGCAGAACAGAGTGCTGGCAACTCATCCTGATGGGCTGGATCCATGTCATGTAGCAGAGCAGCGGGGTAGGCAAGGGCAGGGTGGGCTGGAGGGTCTTCTCCTGCCCTGTCCAGAGGGGGCTGGGGCTGGCATTTAAACCAGGAGAAGCCTTGTGATTAACGCTGATGAAAAAAATTGACCCTCACCCCCCAGTTTGGCTGGAGGAGTACTGGCGTTGGGTAGTTGCTGCTCGTCTGGATTGTTCTGCCTGCTGGGGGCAGCCTGCCTCTTCTGGCAAGCCCCCCCCCCCCCAGCAGAGCCCAAGCAAAATGCTGGGCTCTCCCCACTGGTGATGCTTTGCAACCAGCCTTCAGAGGTGGAACACTAAGAAAGGAGGTGGAACACAACTATCTTGGCTAGTAGGCACAGAAAACCTTGTCCTTCACGAATTTGCCCCGCCCTCTTTCAAAGCCATCCAGGCTGATGGCCATTCCTGGCTCCTCCGGCGGTGAGTTCCACAGATTAACATTTCCTCAATCTGCCCCGACCCTTCCAACATTCAGCTTTGCAGATGGCCCCTCTGGTTCAGAGGAAGGAAGAAATGCTTTCCTCTCTCTGCTCTCTCCACCCACGCTGCTCCCACCCCGACTTGCACAACGCGGCCCGGCCCGTTCCCAGGAAGCCGCGCTCGCGAATCTCGCTTTCTCTGCTGCGGCAGCAGGACGGGGAAAGCCCCGAAGGGCAGATCAGGCGGCAGGAATTCCGTTGCAGACACACCTGGGCAAGGATTAGGATTGACAAGCTGGAGAGGAACCAAAACCGCCTCCAAGCTGCTCCTGTCACTTGAGAGCCCGGACCCCGCCAAAGGGTCTTCTCGTGCTCCGTGAGCCCCCTGGTCCCTCCCTCTGCCCCATCCCAGGCAGCTCCTGACAAACCACCAGGAGCCTTGCACAAAATCCCTGTGTGTGCGCGTGAGTTTACACCCTTCCTTTTGAACACCATCCCCTCCCTCCGGTTTGGGCAAAACCAGTGCCTGTGCGAAGTGAAGAGGCAGGTGTATGGCAGGAGCGCTCCCTCCCTCCCTCCCCGTGTTTGCACCACTTGGGTTGGGCCAGTGTGTCATCCCAGGGCGGGGACATAAAAGCAAGGTTGCGCTCAGGCCGTCCCACCTTGGCACTGTTGGAAAGAGCAGCAGGAGGCGGCGGCAACAGCAGAGGACCTGCCTGGCAGAGGACCCACAGGTAGGACTGAGGAATGCCTGGTTAAGGGCCATCAGCTGGGGAACGGGGGCGAGTGGGGGGCTCTGCTCCCCTTGGCAAGGCCACTGGGAGTGCTGGGCGCTGGTGCCCTTGGCAGGGGCAGGCATATGAGAGTGAGAAGCAGCGCCATGGGGCTGGGCTGCCTGTGGCAGGCAGGTGCCTCACGTGTTGCTGGAAGCCTGTGCAGGCCTTCTTGCCGGGGGACACGTCTGGGGGGGGGGAAGCAGCCTCGAAGGCAGACCCCCCCATGTATTCCCTCAGGCTTCTCTGCCCTGGTGGCTCCTCTTGCCTGCAGTGCTTGCGAGCCCACCACTGAGGGCTCCCTTTTGGGTTTCCTGTTCCAGGGCGTACCTAGGGATTGGTTAGGTATGGGGGCGAAAAATCACACCTCCCCATGCTGAAACGTGTCCTTGCCAAGGGTTCAAGGGAGCTTAGGTCCGCCTCTGCTCCTGTTTGCTCCCTGCCACCTTGCCACCAGCCGCTCTGCCTGCCCTTGGTGCCCACGCTGCTCCCTGGGCATCTCTGGTGAAGGCTGGCAGGACCAGGAGCAAGGCGGCAGCAGTGGCAGCAGGATGCCCTCTAGGCCCATACCCTCTCTCTGTGTGCCAGTCAGAGGTGAGGCATCAGGGGGGAGAGAAAATGCCTCAGGAGGGCTCAAGGTGCTTCCCAGGTGCCGCAAGGAGGAGGAGGAGGAGGTCTTTGCTCCAGGTTCCTCCAGCGGCTCGTGGGCCTTTCCAGTGGTGGCCCCTTCCAAGCGACACGCCCTTTGCACCTTCATGGTCTTTTTTCAGGCACCGGGTGAAGCCAGACCTGCTGGCCTCCTCATCACAAGGGACACCTTTTCAGGCACCATTGGCTCGTCAGGCATTTAATTTTATCCATGTGGAGTTTTCATCTTCATTTGTTAGGGGCATTTTCACTTTTCTAATAGGAAAGGCAAAGCCTTCTGAAGAAATGCAACTTCTTGGCAAGTAGCTGATATGAAGAAAGGCTTTAAACTGAGGTTGGGTGTCCATTTGTTCAGCTGTGATTCCTGCTTTGCAGGGGGTTGGACCTTTGGGGTCCCTTCCATGAAAGTGTCCCCCACATTTGTGTGCCTGTGGTTTATCCAGAGCCTCATGAGGCCGGGGGTGGGGGAGCGGGGAGCATCCAGAGCCCAGCTATGGGGCTGCCAAGGCTCTTGGCTTTGTGGGCCCCACTAGCGTTTCCTGAAGGGGTCTTTGGGCAAGCCCCCAGCTTGCACCGGTCTGGAAAATCTTGTGCTAACTCCCCATTCCTTCACAGGAGCAGGATAAGCTCTGAAAGGCAGGCTTAGAAGTGAGATGCGTGGTCTAGAAAGGCAGCTGGCAGTGACTGGAAAGGGCAGGATCAGGTCCAGATGCAGGACAGAAAGGGGGGCTTCCTTACTTACCTCTTAGGTGGGGTGGGCAGGGGGCACAAGCCCCTGGGTCGTCTCTGCTAGAGCTCCCCCCCCCCCCATTTCTGGCCTCTTTTCTCCTTTACATCTGAAGCCCATTTAAATCACATGGCATTCCCCCCCAAGGAATCCTTGGTTGTTCTTGGTGCTCTGTGGTGGGTAAACTACACTCCCAGGCTTATTTGGGGGAAGCTCTGTGGTGCTTTAATCTCATGCTGCGGGTGTGTTTTTAATTATTATTATTATTATTATTATTATTATTATTATTAGTTACATTTATACGGTATACCGCTCCTCATCCGAAGATCACAGAGCAGTTCACAACGCAAAAATACAAAATGTGAGCTTCACTTACAGAAGTGGTGACCAAAGGTGCTGCAAATCACAATCCCGATGAGACCCCTGGGACCACCCAGCATCCTCATTTGTCCCGAGGCAAATTCAGGCCGGACAGCAAGAGCCCAAATTTAGGTTCTCCCCAGCTGCTCTGCAAGTCAGCCTAAATTTGCCTATGAATTAGCAGGTGCAGGTTTGTGCTATGGGTCTGTGCCCCTTGCCCTGCCCCTGTCTGCAGCCCTGAGAGTGCCCTCCCCGTCACATGGGGGCAGCAGGGGGAACTACTTTTCCAGATGGGGCACAGAGCACCCCCCTGGAGAAGAGCCAACTGAGTGACTGGCATGCTTTTTGTTTCTTTAGAAAAAAGGATGTTAAGGGGACAGTGAACAAGGGGAGACCAAAAAATCAAGAAAACAGTTTATGCTGTAACTAGAAAGTTGCAAACCAGTTTTATCCAAAATTTTGTTTTAATCTTGTATCACACGAGCAATACAAAAAACACACAATCTGGGTTTAGAAGCAGAGAAAGCGCCCTTCCGTGCAGCCCTGGTCAAGCAGTCGGGGGGCCGAGTACCACAGGCACACCTTTTTGGATAAAGCCAGTGAGGTGGAGCTTCAGACTTAGAATAATGCTTTCCTTTACAAATTCTTTAGAAAACCAAAGACCAGTTCCAAAGGATGTATGCTGATATAAGTTGTGGCACATGTATGTGAATGTAGGCTTTCAGAATGTATTTTTTTGGGGGGGGGTCTCTGGGGAAATACTTAAAAGGGGGGTGCTTCCAGAGGGGTACATTCACGGTGCAAAAAGCTGCCCATCCTGCTCAACCCAGGTGGGGTGGGGGGAGAGGGGAGTTTGACTCCATCTCTGCAAACAGAGGTCCAGCGTTTAAATCTGCAAAGGTTCTCTGGTTACCAGGCAGGCTGCCTTAAGCAATTCTTGAGTGACAGGAGCGGTCCTGCAAAATCCACCTTCAGTCAGGGAAGGTGAGCAGATTTGGATGGGTGGGGTGGGGTCTTCCAGAAGAGACTTTCGCTGTGCCTTTGCTCTCTAGAATAATAGAATTGTAGAGTTGGAAGGGACCCCAAGGTCTTGCAAAACAAGCAGGTATTTAGACTTTCCCCCTCCTACCTGATCCCTGAATGCTTAGGAAGGCGGATGGCAAACATCTGAAAATGACAAGACTGCAGTTTCAGGAAAAAAATGTGTTTTGAAAGTGAATATACTAGTAAAAGAAGAACCTGTCCCTAACTCCTGGCCAGCTCTAAACTGTTTCTGGGGCTCCCGGAGGATGCTGTGGGAGGCAGGTAGGACACAGCAGCCCTTGAAATTATGCTCTGGCAATGATCTGGGCACCCGCCAGGATGGGCCTTGGGCTGAGCCTCTGGCAGACTGAGAGGTCCCAGGGTGCTTTGCAGGTCAGCGGGGCTCTCCCTTGCGTGAAAGGGGCCCTGCTGCCTGCAGCAGGTGGGGATCGTGTCCTGGGTGCTGCTGGTGCCCCTCAGGCCTTCCGCCAAGGCGTCTTTGGTCTTCCTGCCCTTGGATGCACCGCTGCTCCAGCTCCCTCCCGGCCCCACTGCGGTCCCCTCCTTCCTCCCTCGCATCTCCGGAGCTGCCTGGGTGGCCAGACTGGGTCATCATCTCCTGGTACCTCATGTCCCCAACCAACTACCTTGTGCCAGAGGCTCCTTTGCGCCAATCCACTCTTCATAAACAGCAATTCTCCACATAATTACATTTGGATTAGGCTGAAACCACATAATTGCAGAATAATTGCCTGCTGAAAGGTGTGACTTGCCAGCCTGTCGTGGCGCAATGTTAAAGGCAGTTTTTATCACTCCTCCTTCCGTGGGTCTCTATGGATGCTATAAAGACACCTGGGGAATTAGAGACCCCCCCCCCCAGCAAACAGAGTGTCTGGAGTGCCACTGCTGCAAAGGTGGGATATCGAGTGTGTTCATCAGGCTCCTTCCTTGTGACCATGTGCATAGGGTCTACTCCTGAGGCTGCAGCTGTGCAGGACGCAGTGACTGGGCTGCTTGCGGGGCAAATGACTTCCAGCATTGCTGACCTTGTTTGTGGCTCTGGCTGCCATTCTGCCTCTGGGCCAAGTTCAAGGCTTTGGAATTAACAGCTCAGGCCCAATGCAGCTCAGGACCAGCGAACTTGAAAGAGACCCTGATGCCTGACGTGCCCCCTAGCCGGTCACCCTGACCTGCAGGAGAGCTCCTCCTTCAAACCCCCCCCAGATCTCAACAGCCCCCTCCACAGTAACTCGGGGCAGGCCTTTTGGGGGGGTCACCCGTCTTCCATGCACAGCATCCCTCTGGGTCACAGCAGGGCGTCCATGATTGTCACTTCCCATAAACAACTGGGGACAGATTTGACTTGAAAAACTTTTCTAGCTGAGTGAAAAGGTCTCTCTGCCTTTGGTGCTGATTCTGTGTTGTTTTGAAATACATCTTTAATTGTTGCTTTTTTGTACTGTTTTCATTTTCAGTGTTTTTTATGGTGTGCCTGTAAAAAGGCCTTGAGACTCACGTGGAAGGCGACGCATAGATTAATAAATGAATAACCACACATGAACTTGTGGAGCCTGAGGCAGAGCTGGCCCAGGAACCGAGGGCACCTGGAGCGGAGCAAGCCCTCCTCTGCCCAAGGCAAGGGGCAAGAGGCTCTGGGCCCTGGAGAACTCCACCAAGGCCGCGGGGTTCAATTAAATAGCTCACCATTTTCTTCCCTTTCATGCTATTCCAGGTCAGCTGCTTGAGACAGTCTGAGCTGCTCTCCCTTCCCTTTAGAGCAGGGGTCAGCAACCTTTTTCAGCAGAGGGCTGGTCCACTGTCCCTCAGACCTTGTGGGGGGGGCTGGAGTATATTTTTTGGGGGGGGAATGAACGAATTCCTATGCCCCACAAATAACCCTGAGATGCATTTTAAATAAAAGGGCACATTCTACTCATGTAAAAACACGCTGATCCTGGACCGTCCACGGGCCGGATTCAGAAGGCAATTGGGCCAGATCTGGCCCCCGGGCCTTAGTTTGCCTACCCATGCTTTAGAGCTAAATTAGAGAATTTACAAGTGCACACATTTTGTTTTTGTTACTAAATCATGTATATTATGCAATAAGAATTACAGTGCTGTCTAGTATACTGGTCTGCGTGTTGCTTGTACTGTTTGTTGTGTTAAGTTTGCAACACAGGGGTTTGTTGTTCTGTATTAGAGCTTACTCCATCAGAATGCAATTAGCCTTCAGCAAAGGACCTCCAATGCCTAAGATTTCCTTCTCTGCCTTCAGCCTGCATCCAGGGGGTGGAAGTGGGTGGGTGCAAACGGTGACAAGAGCAACTTCCAGGCCGTGTTCCCATGAAATAGCTCCAAGTGTGCTGGACTTTGAAGTGGCCAGACACGGATCTGCTCGTGACTCCAGGCCCACAGCAGCCCAGGGACAGAGCTGCTGCTGCTGCAGGTCCAGTTCCCAATGTCAGCCCCTCCAGGTGGGGCTGGGAACGTCCCTTGTCTGAAAGCCTTCGAGAGCCACAGCTGTCGTTGGGAGCAGGCAGCGCTGACAGGGGTGGGCCAAGGGTCTGGTTGGGCGTGACTCCCTAAGAAGGGACCAGGGCAGGGGATGGGAGTCTCTATAAAGGAGGGTCAGATTGGGCAGTGCTGGGTTTGCCCCCCTCCCTGCCAAGTCCTGCCGTGTGCGCAGGCTCTGCTGGGTGTGGTGGGGACCAGTTTCTGTGTGTGTGTTGCCATGAGACGCTGCAGCTGTGCAAACAAGGCGGTGTTGGTGTTGCACGTGTGATGTGTGACTGTGGTTGCTGTCATGTGTGTGGACAAGCCCAGGGAGCTGTGCCAAGCCTGGCACTGCCCAGCCCACGTCTAAGGCCAGACCTGGGTCCAAACAGGCAACAGCCAATTCAGGAGGAGGAGGAGTGCCCCCTCGTTGGCCGACCAGGAAATCTCCCCCTTCTTCAGAAAGGCAGGTGATGCAATTTCCAGGCAAGACAACGCCCTTTAATTTGCAGGGAGCAGAACCTTCTCCCAACCGGCCCAGTAGCTTTTATCACTGGGAATCTGGGGTGTCAACGCTACGCAGATCCCAAGCCTCCTGAACCAACAAGCATTTGCAGGTGCTTCCCAGGGAAGAGGCTTCTTCCAGGCCCAGCAGGAGCCTCCGCCTGCCTCCTTCCCCTGCCAGGGCTGGGAGCAGAAGGCTCTCACCCCCCCCACCCCCTGCAAAGGGTCCTGTGCATCGAATAGCTGCAGAAGCACCTGTCATTGGCCCGAGGAGGAACCTTTTCCTGGCATGTGGATGCTGTGAGGGGGAAGCTTCACCTGGGACCTTCTGCATGCAAAGCAGCTGCACTGGGAATTAGCTATGATGGCCTCTTCCCATTTGTTACATTAGAGTCCTGCAAGATTGCTGCTTGCTGGCTGTGACGGTGGGTTCACCTTGAAGCTGGGCAGGATCACTTTGGGAAAAGGAAAAGGAAAAGCTCCAAATGGTAGAAACATAGAACTGTAGACCTGGAAGGAACCCCAAGGGTCATCTAGCCCAAAACAGGAAGGAGAAACTGACCTTTTTGTGTTATTGGCCCAGTCCTGTGGAACTCCCTGCCACTAGATATTCAGCAGGCACCTTCTGTGCCAATTTTTAAATGCCTGCTGAATACTTTCATATCCTGCCAGGCCTATACAGGCAGTTAAGAATACATCCTCCACAATCATTTTCTGATGCCTGATTTTAATTTATTTTTGTTTTTAAGTTTTTAAAACCTTTATTGTCTGTTTTTACATTGTTGTAAACCACCATGGTATTTATTTATGATACAGTGGTATATACGTATTTTTTAAAATAAAAAAATGACCAAGCTAAATAATCTCTGGCTATCCAACCTCTGCTTCAAAACCTCCATTGCAGGAGAGTCCACCGCCTCCCAAGGTGGCCTGTTCTACTGTCAAACAGAAAGTTCTTCCTAATGTTTAGTCAAAATCTCCTTCCTTGTTATTTGAATCCATTGGTTCAGGTCCTCCCCTCTGGAGCAGCATAAGACAAGCTTGCTCTGTCTTCCATGGGGCAGCCCTTGAGATATTTGAAAATGGCTGTCCTATCACCTCTCAGTCGCCTCTTCTCCAGGCTAAATATATGCAACTCCATTAGCCATTTCTCATGAATAAGGCTTTCTTTCTTCAGCATCTTGCTTGTCCTCCTCTGCACATGTTCCAGCTTGTCAATATCCTCCTTAAACTGGGGTGCCCAGTTAAACTGGACACAGCATTCTGGGTGGGGTCTCACCAAGGCAGAATATAACTTTTGATCAGGACACTCAACTTAGGTTGATACAGTCTAGTTAGTATAACATTAGCTTTTTTTGCTGTTTTGAAAAAACAACAACTGCTTCATGACTCCTTAATGGCTCAGAATGACTCCTTAATGGGAGCTAATTGTTAGAAGATGCTTACTTGATAAAGAAATCTCTCTGGAATGTTCTGGGTAGAGAAACCCAAACACGGTTTGATCAATGAGTCCCTAAGTGACCGTGGAGGCCAATTCTGGATCCACACGTCCTTCCACAGTGGGGACATAGGTCTCCGGGCAGGAGATGTCAGTTTTACAAATGGGCTCAGGCAGTGTCAGTAGAGGAACTTGAGTTTTGGAGTACTGCTTCTGTGTTTGGCGATTCTACCTTCTCAAGAACAAGAGCAAGTTGTTGGCTTCTGCAAAGTAGATCACATTTGATTCCTTGCACAGGGACTGGGTTCTGCCGTGTCTGTTCTCCAACAGGACTGAGGGCTCATCCACTCTTAGCTTTGCTCCACATTGTAGGCACCAGTCCAGGCTTTCCAGGTTTGTGTCTGAGCACTTTCCCCCTTCTGTTTTTTTGCCCTGGCACTTTCTCCACAAAACCCCACTCTTGACCACTGAATCTGGGCAGCCACCTGCAGAAAACCCAAATTGCCCTTGGTTTCAATTCAGCTTTAAAGAGTGTGTTTTCCTGGGCGAAGCACCTGGTGGTAGGTTAGGGGTGGAAGTGCCTGGACACAAGCTGGGAAACAGCGGGGCAAAAAATAAGTGTGTAGGACGAGCCCTGATGCTAAAAGCTCTCTCTTTGCTCTTCTGGATCTAAATGGCAGTTTTCACACTGAATTGCACTGATTCTTTAAAAAATGCTTTTAACCTCTCTTAGCTTGTAAATATGAAGTGGCAATTTCCCCCAGGAATTAAATTCTGACCAAGGGTTGGAAAAGGGTGTTCTGTCTTCCCATTAGTGGTTCTGCTGGACCATATCTAGTTACTATCAACGGAGTTGACCTGTAGCTTACAAGAGCAAATAGGTGGGACGGCCTGTCTCAATACTTTCTTGGCAGTCTGTCTGCTCTCTCTGCCTCATTATTTCATTGAGGGTAATTTGAGCTGGTGGCAATGTGGCAAAAGTTGCAAGATGCCAGAAATGACTGGAATTCTGCTACTGTAAATGGGTTTGCGTTGTGGGTCATGTTGATCAGGCGTGCCAAAGCAAACAGACATATTCTTCAGTGCTCAGGCAAGGGAAGTAGCTCAATAGACCTTGAAAAGCAGGACCTGAGAACCAAGCCAGGTCAGCCTTACAGTTCAGCTGCTCACCTTTCCTTTTTTTTTTTTATAAATATTTATTAAAGTTTTCACAATATTACATGAAAAAAGAAAAAATACAAAAAAAACACAATTAAAAACAATTCCATCTTTTCGTCACTTATCTTTCATTTACTTGTTTCCCGGACCTCCTCATGCCTCCCTTTTTTGTATTCCAGTTCAATTTATTAGTTCAGCAATTCCTTTCCCTCCTTATTTTATCCTGATCTTTAATCTTAATATATTATAGCATTAAATTTTTACCTATTAAAAATCCAATTTTTCCATATTCTTTTATACCATTACAGCTAGAAACCACTTAACTTCAATCCAACATCATTCTAACATTCATTAATTTTGCAATATTTCTGTAAATAGTCTTTAAATTTCTTCCAATCTTCTTCCACCGATTCTTCTCCCTGGTCTCGGATTCTGCCAGTCATTTCCGCCAATTCCATGTAGTCCATCATTTTCATCTGCCATTCTTCCAGTGTGGGTAGGTCTTGTGTCTTCCAATACTTTGCAATAAGTATTCTTGCTGCTGTTGTAGCATACATAAAGAAAGTTCTGTCCTTCTTTAACACCGATTGGCCGACTATGCCCAGGAGAAAGGCCTCTGGTTTCTTCAAGAAGGTATATTTAAATACCTTTTTTAATTCATTATAAATCATCTCCCAGAAAACCTTAATCCTTGGGCACGTCCACCAAAGGTGAAAGAATGTACCTTCAGTTTCTTTACATTTCCAACATTTATTATCAGGCACATGATAGATTTTTGCAAGCTTGACTGGGGTTATGTACCACCTGTATATCATTTTCATAATATTCTCTCTTAAGGCATTGCATGCCGTAAACTTCATACCTGTGGTCCATAACTGTTCCCAGTCAGCCATCATTATGTTATGTCCAACGTCTTGTGCCCATTTAATCATAGCAGATTTCACCGTTTCATCCTGAGTATTCCATTTCAACAGCAAGTTATACATCTTTGACAAAATCTTGGTTTTGGGTTCTAACAATTCTGTTTCTAATTTTGATTTTTCCACCTGGAAGCCGATTTTCTTGTCCAAATTGTATGCCTCCATTATCTGATAATAATGAAGCCAGTCTCGCACTTTGTTTTTTAGTTTTTCAAAACTCTGTAATTTCAATCTATCTCCATCTTGTTCCAAAACTTCCCAATATTTCGGCCATTTGACCTCCATATTGAGCTTTTTCTGTGCTTTTGCTGCTCACCTTTCCTAAGGTCTATCATGTGATTAAAGGATCCTTCCATTGTGCTGATCCAGTTCTTCTGGATCAGAAGTCACAGCATGAGATTTTGTTCTTTCTGCCCCTTCCAGAACTTGGCCATCACACTGTCCACTTGGATCACTTACAGCAGCCCATGGTTAGACCTTGACATCCTTGGTGGATGGATGAGTTCTGGTCTAGATAAGTTCTAGGATCTCTTTCCTCATTTTTTGTGCTGCAACAATGCACTTCCCTTTTGTGATTAGGCCTTCTGGTTCACTCAGTCATCCACAGTCTGCAAAGTTCTTCCGACTCACCTCTGAAGAATTGCAAGAGTCTTTAGGCCATCCTGATCCAACATAGCACAAGACTTCTTGAAGTTCTGGATTTCCATGAATGGCATTTGGGGTTGGAGTTTTGCAAATCCTGGCCACCATTCCAAGAAGCTTCCTCGCTGCTTTCACTCATCTGATGGGGCGTGGCTTTGTACAGAGTTGCGTTATGGCATCTCCCAAGAGCTCTACGTTGTGTTGATGAAAAGTGCATTTCTCTTTGTTCAGCTTGTGGCTGGATTCATGGAAGCAGCAGCAGCAGCAGCAGCTGGGATCATACAGATCAACCTCCAGCCACCGTGATTAAGGGGTGGGGGAGCTGCACGTGGTGCGTTGGTTGGGGTCCTGTGGAACTGCCCAGTGTCTGCTTTCAACTGGATCACAGAACCACAGACTGGTAGAGTCTAGTGTCTGGTGTCGGCCGTCTTTGCTCCCTGGGTGGTCATTGGTGGTAAAAGGAAGACCCTGCTCTGGCCAGGACAGTGTTTAACCCTGACACATTCTGCCATTCCCAGCCTCAGAGGCTCATTTCAGGACCCATTAGGAGCACATCATCAATTAAGTGAATTATACATTACCTTTACGGTTCACAAGTGATGAGATAACACCCGCATTTTAAAGCATGCAATTAGTCTTCATCTGTCTCCACCCAATATTAACAGCATGTGTTTCAGCTGAATTACAGGTTTCTGTCCCTTACCTCCACATTCCCATCCTTTTCAGGATTGTGGCTGTGTACACATCACACATTTAAAGTACATTTCCACCCCTAAAAATACTGGGAATTGTTGCTTACCCCAGAGCTGTAATTCCTAGCACCCTTAACAAATGACAGTTCCTAGCCATTATTATTATTATTTTACAACCAAACATAGTTATTTAAAAGTTCAACACACCAGAAGCATAGGCTGATTTCATTTTTCTTCCCTCAGAATTTCCAGAGAGATGTGAGAGGCAGCTGTTTCTAAACTATGCTGTGCTGAACAGTGAAATGTTAAGGGACTTGCTCTGCGCATGGCTGTGTTAAAGACGCTCCGTGCAAAACTCTCTCCCCTCTAACTTGAAAAAGGCATGAGCCTATTCTGGGAGTGGAGGGAGCACGTGCAAATATTTGAGGTGTGTGAGTGGTGCCTCAGCCCCCTTTTGCAGTGGAGTTACAGCTGGACAGGAAATCTTCAGTTCTGCATTTCCTTTAAGTTCTGACTTGGTGCCTTTGCTCTGGTCTGAGGGGGCTGGCTGCAATCCTGCCTTGCCCAGGGCAGCTCAGGCCATCCTCAGCCCCTTGGGGCAATCCCAGCAAAGCCCACTGCTGGCCACACTGGGTGAACTTTCTTCGTATTAGAAGTATTTGTTACCATGATTTCTGTGCTGCCTTTCAGGGTCAAAACCCTCCCAAAGTGGCTTACATGCAAAATGCAAATAAAGCCAATCAATAAAGGTTAATGATTGGAGGGTTCTGAACTTGCTTAACACCCCGGAGGGAGGGGGGGAGTGAGCCGTGCCCCCACCTGGCTGGGAGGAAGCAAGGGGTCTGGCTCTCTTGTTCTTCCTGTGATGCCTCTTGCCAGAGGTGCAGGAAGGAGCTGCTTAGAAGTCAAATCATCTGCCTGCACACCAGATCCCTTTGAAGCACTTTCGGAGCACATTTTCCCCTCAAAGCATCCTGGGCTCTGCAGTTTGCCCCTCACAGATTTACGATTCACAGCCACGCTCTTTGAAGGCCACAGCCCATCCACAGCCAAGGCTGCTATTTGTGGGGAGGAACTGTGGGCACAACATCTGTTTCATGCATTTTTAAAATGAGGCTGCATTTTAAATTGCATTTTAACCTGTATTTTAAATTGGTTTTTTCCTTTTCTTTTCCCTATTATGTTTTTACTGTGATTTTATTGGTGTTAGCCGCCCTGAGCCCAGCTCTGGCCGGGGAAGGTGAGGTATAAATAAAATTATTATTATTATTATTATTATTATTATTATTATTATAGTGCTCTGGTCCATGGGGTCACGAAGAGTCGGACACGACTAAACGACTAAACAACTAAACAACAAAATTATTATTATTATTTCATTTATAGTTGCTAATGTTATTTATATAGAGGCTTTATTGCACTTGTATCCGATTCTCATTTGCAGCGTTTGAAATTTCACAAATTATTTAAGGTAGGTTGTAGACCACTTCGAGGTACCTTTGAGATTGTGAAGTGGCATGGAAATCATAGATTCATAGAATCATAAAACTGTAGAGTTTAAGGCACCCCCAGTGGTCATCTAGTCCAACCTCCTGCAATGCAGGAACCGCAGCTCAAGAATCTGCTGCTGGAGATGTCTGGAGCCCAGGGGTGCTCCGGGGTCCCACTGTGGAATAGGTAAAGGTACCCCTGCCCGTACGGGCCAGTCTTGACAGACTCTAGGGTTGTGCGCTCATCTCACTCTATAGGCCGGGAGCCAGCGCTGTCCACAGACACTTCCGGGTCACGTGGCCAGCGTGACAAGCTGCATCTGGCGAGCCAGCGCAGCACACGGAACGCCGTTTACCTTCCCGCTGGTAAGCGGTCCCTATTTATCTACTTGCACCCGAGGGTGCTTTCGAACTGCTAGGTTGGCAGGCGCTGGGACCGAACGACGGGAGCGCACCCCGCTGCGGGGATTCGAACCGCCGACCATGCGATCAGCAAGTCCTAGGCACTGAGGTTTTACCCACAGCACCACCCGCTGTGGGTGGAATAGTGAGCTGGAATAGTGAGCTGCAAATGGCTGTTGACAGGGTGGCTCCCAAGTCCCTGCAGAGCCCAGGCAGCTCTCTGGTGCACTCAAGAACTGAGGGGGCAAGGAAGCAAGCAGGAGGGGGGCCAAGCCATGGCAAACAGTCACATTCTCAAGGCCATTTGCATACCTGAGAAGGAGTGCATCTCAAGGCATTCTTTCCTTTCCTTTAAGACCAAAACCGTTTCATTCTGAAAAGCCCACCCTGGAGCCAGGCAGCAGCTGGCTGCAGCTGCCCCCCTGCCATGCTCAGTCCCTGAGAGGGAGGGGCACTTCTGGAGAAACCAAGATGGCAGCAGGCCTGGGGGGGGGGAGCTGGCTGAGTCCGCTGCTGTGGAGCTGGCTTCTTAAGGAAAGAAAAAGGGATGCTGTGACAACGGGCATCAGCCCTAACGTGCCCACGCTGGGCACTGATGCTCTGCCAGGCGGCCACTGTCACCTACTGCCTGCCCCTAGTGGGTGTTTCCTCCCCACCCCTAGGTTATGGGGCCCCAGGCTTGGACTATGAAGTCTAGCCCTGAGGGCACCACATCCTAAATACCCCCCCCATTTACAGGGGCCTTCCCCCGCCATGCCTTCCACTGCAGCTGCCCCCCAAGAGCATTTTGCTGTGGAGGCAGGGAGGGGGAGGGCCCCCCTTGCACCTCTCTAACCACTAGGCTTCAGGACCTCTAAAGCCACCAGCTTCAGCAGCAATTGCTTAAGTTTTACACATTATTTCTGCTTTTTGTAAAACGCACAGGCAAGCTGGCCCTGCGCAGGAGTCCTGAGATCAAGACCGGCGAGCCTCTCGCTTGGCTAGGCTCTGGCTGCCCTCAAGGCCTGGCCTGCCACCAGTTTCTCTCTTTTTTCCATGACGTTGGGCTGCTCCCTGGGCTAGTGTGGGTCGCACCCGTGGCGGCCGGCAGTCTCAGAGGCAGCAGCCGGGTGCTGGGTCCCCCCTTCTCTGCCTGCCCCCCTCCCTGACCCCTCCTGCATTCCAGGCTCTGTGCAAGCAAGCGCAGATGGGGATTATCTGCCACCAAGAGGAACAGGGCTGGGCTGGGGAGGGGAGAGGCAAGTGGGTCGCCTGGGCTTGTCTCCCTCCTTTGTTGCTCAACCTTGGCAAATGCTCAGAATGTAAGAGGAGCAGGGAAGCTGAAAGAGGCTGGGGCTGGGCTCAGGAGGATGCCAAACCTGTCTGAGCTTCCTTCACCACTCTGCTCCTTCCCACCCCAGCGCAGGCTGAGAGGGGACAGAGATCTCATGAAGCAACAGGGGGTGAGATAATACGCTGTGGCTGATCATTATTCTGCTTGGCCTTGACAAGGGCTCCGTTCCAGCTTTATTTGAGGGCAGGTTTCTGGTGCAGTGACTCCGTGTACCCAAGGAAGATCTCACCTGTCAAACCCTCCAGAGGGGCTGGCCCAGCCCAAAGCGCAGAGGGCCTCCCCAGGCCAGCTTCCTATTACCGGACTGTGTGGGTTCTGCACACACCACATGGGCCCCTCCTGCAATTTCTGCCTTTTTATTCCTGCTTTCTCTTTTATTACCAGGGTTTTGGTTTTCACGCCAAGCTTTTGCTTGTGGTGTGTTGTAACATTGCTCCATTATCGCTCGTAATTGCTGGGAGTGTCCTTACAACCGGAAAAGCAGACGTGCGCAGTTGTGAGGAACCACTTTTAAAATCTGTTTCTTTCTCTCCTCAATTATCAGGGAGTATTTTGGAAGTTTCCCCTTGTGTCTCCCCCGTGGGAATGTGCGTGAAGGTAGAAGGTGCATTCCAAGGACACCTTGCAGGTGCCATTCAGGTTGAATCAAGAGTGGAGTTCCATGCCAGCAATCCTTAGGAAAGGAATTGAAACTAAAACTGCCAGTCTCATAATGCCATTATACAAGTCCATGAGGCAACCACATTTGGAGTACTGTGTGCAGGTCTGGTCACTGCATCATGAAAAGGATATTGTAGAGTTGGAAAAGGTTCTGAAAAGGGTTCCTCTGTGAAGAAGGTTTGCAGCATTGAGGACTTACTAGTTTAGAGAAAAGAAGTTTAGAGCAAGAAGTGGCACAACAGAAGTTTATAAGAGGATGCCTAGCAGGGGGAAAGTGAAAGAGAAAAGGTTTCTGCTCCTTTCTGCTCTTCATGACTACTGACTGTTTCCTTTCTTTCCTCTCCTTGCAGAGACCCACTTGCCACCCGCAAAGGGAGCAGAAGAGTCGCCTGCTTGCGCCAGGAGCGGGAGACTCGGAACAACTGCACAAACAGCATGGAGGCAAGGGGTCCAGGGACCCGGGGGCAAGCAGGGTCAGCAGCCATGCCAGGGGGCTACATCTCCCCCAGCAGCACCTCAGCAGCACCCAAGGCAGACACACACATCAAGAGCATTGCCGGAGTCTACGTGGAGGCTGCTTCTGGCAAGACGATGAGCCTTAATGAAGCTGTCCAGCATCATTTGCTGCAGCCTGACGTTGCATCAGCTCTCTTGGAGGCCCAGGCAGCCACCGGCGGCATCGTTGACCTTGCGGGAAAGCGGCTGGTCTCTGTGGCGGAGGCCCTGGAGATGGGACTGGCAGGGCTGGAGATGAAGGAGAAGCTGCTCTGCGCAGAGCGAGCAGCAAAGGGCTTCACAGACCCTTACACAGAGGAGAAGATCTCCCTCTACCAAGCCTTGCAGAAAGAGCTCCTTGGAAAGGAACAGGGCCTGTATCTGCTGGATGCCCAGTTAGCCACTGGGGGCACCATTGAGCCAGCCACTGGTCACCGCATCCCTCCGCAAGAGGCTTATGAGAAGGGCTACCTTGATGAGAAACTAAGCAACTTCCTCTCTGACCCTGAGAACGAGGAGGCCAAGGGCTTCGTAGACCCAAACAACAACCAGAAGGTCACCTACACGGAGCTGATGAGAAGGTGCATTTGTGACCACACCAGAGGCCTGCTCTTGCTGCCACTGAAAATCTCCTTTCCTGGGCTGAGAGGGTCTGTGTGCAGCCATGAGCTCCTGGATTCTGGAATCATTGACTCAGCCATGTTCAAAGCCCTCCATGACGGGGAGCTCACGGCGCAGGAAGTGGCGGAGATGGACTCTGTTCAGGGGTACCTCTCTGGGACAAAGAGCATTGCCGGTGTGGCGCTGCTGCACACCAATGAATGCAAGAGTCTGTACCAGGCTTTAGGGGAGCACCTCCTAGTGCCAGGCACAGCTGTGATTCTCCTGCAGGCTCAGGCTGCCACAGGATGCTTGATAGACCCTGTAAGAAACGAGAAGTTCACGGCCGATGCTGCCATCCGCGCAGGAGTTGTTGGGCCAGAGCTCCATGAGAAACTGTCTTCAGCAGAGAAAGCAGTCACAGGGTACAAAGACCCCTTCACTGGCGAGACGGTCTCTCTGTTTCAAGCCATGAAGAAGGGCCTTGTGCCCAGGGACCCTGGCATTTTCCTGCTGGATGCCCAGTTTGCCACTGGAGGCATCGTCGACCCCCACACGCATCACCGGCTTCCTGTGGAGATGGCCTGTCAGCGGGGCCACTTAGACAAGGACACAGAGAGCCTCCTCTGCAATCCCACAGATGAGATCCGTGGGTTCTTTGAGCCCAACTCCAAGGAGAAATTGTCCTATGCAGAACTGCTCTTGAGATGCGTCACAGATCCAGACACGGGTCTCTGCCTCTTGCCTCTCACAGGAGGCCATGGAAGGGAGCACTCCTTCATTAACCACAACACAAAGTCTGCTCTGGAGAACATGGCTGTGTCTGTGTCCTGTGGGAAATTCAAGGGGAAGCAGGTTTCACTCTGGAAGCTCCTCTTCTCAGACTACTTTACAGGAGAGCAGAGGACCGACCTCATCCAGCAGTACCGCTCTAGGCGCCTTTCCGCTCGGCAACTGGCTGACAAAGTCTCTCACACCATCCAGCAAGCCGTTGCCAACTCCAGAGTCACCTTCGAGGGCTTGAGGGACAAGGTGACGCCCGCCCAGCTTCTGAGCTCAGACATCATCAACAAGAATTTGTTTGAGAAGCTGACCCAAGGGGAGACCTTGGCCAAAGATGTTGTCAGCATGGGCACGGTGAAGAAGTATCTGGAAGGGACGGGCAGCATCAGTGGGCTGCTCCTGCCCGACTCCCAGGAGAAGATCAGCATCTACCAAGCAAAGAGGAAAGGCTTCCTGCGGCCAGGGACCTCCCTCATCCTCCTGGAGGCTCAGGCTGCCACAGGCTACATCATTGACCCTGCAGCCAACAAGAAATACTCTGTGGACGAGGCCCTGAAGGCCAACGTAATTGGCCCAGATGTTTACGACAAGCTCCTGACTGCCGAGAAAGCTGTCACTGGCTACAGGGATCCTTACACAGGAGAAAAGATCTCCCTCTTCCAGGCTATGATGAAGGATCTGATCATCAGGGACCATGCCATCCGCCTGCTGGAAGCACAGATAGCGACGGGGGGCATCATCGACCCCATCAACAGCCACCGCCTGCCTGTGGAAGTTGCCTACAAACGGGGCTACTTTGACAAAAAGATGAACCTGATTCTCTCGGACCCCAGTGATGACACCAAGGGCTTCTTTGACCCAAACACCCATGAGAACCTGACTTACCTGCAGCTGAAGGAGAAGTGCATCACAGAGCCCTCAACCTCCCTCTGCCTCCTGCCGCTGAACAGCAAGAAGCCGCGGTTCATTGACGACACCACCAAGCAAGCGTTCAGGGGCTCCTCGGTCTTTGTGAAATACGGGCGCTTCCAAGGGCAACGGGTCTCCCTGTGGGATTTGCTGAACTCCGAGTACTTCAGCGAGGGCAAGAGGAGGGAAATATTCAACCATTATTGCCTGCAGAAGGTCACCCTGGAGAAAATCCGGCTCATGTTGGAGGAGGAGATGAAGAAATGGGCCTGCATCCAGTTCCCAGCCATAAGGGGCCGCGTCACTGCCTACCACCTGATGGAGATGGGCATAATCGACAGGACCCTCTTTGAAAGGTTGCTGGAGGGAGCTGTGAGCCCAGAGGAGGTTCTGCGCATGGGCTCTGTCCGGAAATACCTCTATGGCACTGGAAGCATCGGGGGCATCGTGTTGCAGCCCTCCAACGAACGAGTGAGTCTCTACGAAGCCATGAAGAGGAACATTGTGGTGCCCGGGGTAGCCGTGCCCTTGCTTGAGGCACAGGCAGCCACTGGCTTCATCGTTGACCCAGTGAAGAATAAAAAACTCGGCCTGGATGAGGCTGTGAAGGAAGGCCTTGTTGGCCCCGAGCTCTATGAGAAACTCCAACGGGCAGAAGAGGCTGTCACTGGCTACAAGGATCCTTTCACAGGCAAGAAGATCTCCCTCTTCCAAGCCATGAAGAAGGGCCTTGTGGCTGACAAACAAGCCAGGCAGCTGATGGATGCCCAGCTGTCAACGGGGGGTGTCATTGATCCGCACTGTGGACATTATGTCCCAGTAGAATTTGCCCAGAAAAAAGGTTACTTGGATGAGGACTTCAGCAAAACACTTTCCAACCCAAGCAGTGGTGCCAAAACTTTCAGCACTCTGGACAGAAAGGAGATGGTGACCTACAGCCAGCTGATGGATCAGTGTCAGAAGGATGAAGCCTCTGGCGTCCACCTGCTACCTCTGCCGCAAGCAGCTTCTCCTGCCACCACAGATGAGCAGATCAAGCAGCTCTTCAGGGAGACCTATGTGCAGGGCAAAAGGGTCTCCCTCTGGGAGCTCCTGAACTCTGGCTACTTCACGGAGGAGCAGAGAAGAGACTTCCTGGAGAAGTATAGGTCTGAGGCAATATCCCTACAGCAGCTGGTCACCCTTGTCCAGGAACTCATCAAGGAAATGGAACTGAAGGCTCAAAGCCAGGTCACTTTCCAAGGCCTGAGAGGTGCAGTTCCCGCAGTCTGGCTTCTGGATACTGGCATCATTTCGGAAAAGATATTCAGAGAGCTGGCTCAGGGCAGGAGGACAGCCAGAGAAGTGTCTGAGATGGACAGCGTGAAGAAATACTTGCAGGGCACTGGGAGCATCGCTGGGGTCTTCATTCAGGCCTCCAACGAGAAAATGAGCATTTACCAAGCTATGCAGAAGAGCCTTCTTCTCCCAGGCACAGGGGCAAGGCTTCTGGAAGCCCAGGCAGCGACAGGATCCATCATGGACCCCGTGACCAGCCAGAGGCTTGGAGCAGAAGAGGCCATCAAAGCTGGCATTGTGGGTGAAGAACTTGTGGAGCAGCTACTGCAGGCTGAGAGGGCCCTGACAGGCTATCCTGACCCCTACTCAGGGAAGCCCATCTCGGTGTATCAGGCAATCCGGAAGGAGCTGATCTCCACCACGGCTGGCATCCCCTTGCTTGAGGCACAGCTGGCCACTGGAGGGGTCATCGATCCCATCCACCACCTCCACCTTCCTCTCCAAGCAGCCTACAAGCACAACTTCTACGATGAGGAAATGCACAAGACCCTTTCTCAGCAGAGTGACGACACCTGCGTCTTCTTTGACCCCAACACACAGGAAAGCCTGACCTACCAGCAGCTGAAGGAGAGGTGCGTCCGGGATGCCGAGACAGGACACTTGCTGCTTCCTCTCTCGGAAGAGGCCATTTTCTATGCGGATCAGCAGACCATGGAAGTGCTGAAATCTGTCACTGTCGGTGTCAACATTGGGCGGTTTAAAGGCCAAGAGGCTTCGCTCTGGGACTTACTCCACTCTGAGTACATCACCCACAGCAAGCGGAGAGAGCTGGTGGCAGCCTACAAAGAGGGGAATGCTGAGATCCTTGATGAGATTGCAGTGGCTGCCTCCAAAATCATCGAAGACACCGAGCAGCAGAGCAAGAGGTTCACTTTCAAGGGCCTGCGCAAACAGGTGTCAGCCAGCGACCTCTTCCAGTCGGAGCTCATAGACAAGGAAACTCTGGACGAACTGAGAGAGGGGAAGAAAACTGTCCAGGAAGTCACCAAGATGGATTCAGTCAGCCGATACCTTGAGGGCTGCAACTTCATCGCTGGAGTCCTTCTACAGCCAAGCCAGGAGAGGCTGAGCATCTACCAGGCCATGAGGCAGAGTCTCCTCCGGCCAGGGGCGGCTCTGGTGCTGCTGGAAGCCCAGGCTGCCACTGGCTTCCTCCTTGACCCAGTGAGAAACAAGAAGTTGTCAGTAGATGAAGCGCTGGCAGGCGGGCTGATTGGAAGAGAGATTTACGAGAAGCTGCTGAGTGCAGAAAAAGCTGTGACAGGATACACACACCCCTACACAAAAGAACAGATCTCCCTCTTTGAGGCCATGAACGAAGGGCTCATTGTGAAAAGCCATGGCATTCGTCTCCTTGAGGCCCAGATAGCCACGGGGGGCATCATTGACCCTGTTCACAGCCACCGCATCCCCGTAGAAGTAGCTTACAAACGAGGTTACTTTGATGAAAAACTGAACCAGGTCCTTTTGGACCCCACAGATGATACCAAAGGCTTTTTTGACCCCAACACCCACGAGAATCTCACCTACTTGCAGCTTCTAGAACGATGCACCCAAGATCCAGAGACTGGACTGTACATGCTACAAATAGTCAGAAGGGGTGGAAGGTACTTTTACATCAACGAGGCAACCAAAAAGTTCCTGCAAGCACAACCGATGCAGATGCACATTGGCAGGTACAAAGGCCAAACCGTCTCCATGTGGGACCTCCTTTGCTCCCCATACATCCAAGAGCAGAGAAGGAAAGAGCTGGTGCGCCAGTACAAGTTTGAGGGTCTGACCCTGGAACAACTCAGCAAAGCCATCACTGCTATCATCGAGGAAACGGAGCAGAAGATGCAGGCCCTCAAGGTGAAGGGACCAAGGGGGGACGTCTCAGCGGCAGAGCTATTCAACTCCGAGATCATTGATAAGAAGACCCTGGATGGGCTTCACCAGGGGCCTGGTGCCCTTCAGCAACTTGCCCAGAAGGACTCCGTGAAGCGATACCTGGAGGGAACAGGCTGCATCGCCGGAGTCTTAGAAGCCAAAGGGCAGAAGATGACCATCTATGAAGCCATGAAGAAAGGGGTCCTGTCCCCAGAGCATGGTCTGATGTTGCTGGAAGCACAGGCTGCCACCGGATTCATCATCGACCCATTGAAGAAGAAAACATTCTCCGTTGACCAAGCGATCTCTGTGAGGCTTGTGGGTGAAGACCTTCGAGAGAAACTTCTTTCTGCAGAGAAAGCCGTTACTGGCTACACTGACCCTTCCACAGGGAACAAAATATCTCTCTTCCAAGCCATGAAAAAAAGCATCGTAGAAAAAGAACTTGCTCTCAGGCTTCTGGAGGCCCAGATTGCCACCGGTGGCATCATTGACCCTGTGCATGGCCACCGCATCCCTGTGGAGGTGGCTTACAAACGGGAGTGTTTGGATGAGGGCACTTACCTCCGGCTTTCTGATCCAAAATATGCTACCAAAGGATTTGTGGATCCGAACACCCAGGAAAGGATTACCTACGCCCAACTATTGCACAGGTGCACCAAAGAGACAGGGATGTACTTCCTACAGCTGCTGAGCAAGAGGGACTATTTCTATGTAGATGAAATAACAAAAAATATATTTTCATCCACCAAAGTAAATGTAACACTTGGGAAATTCAGGGGCCAGATTGTGTCTCTGTGGGACCTTCTTACTTCAAGCTACTTCACTGAAGAGAAGAGGAACGAGCTGATTAAAAAATACAAACTGGAATCTTCTGCTGTTCTGCAGCACATCACGGATGAAATTCTGAACATAATAAAAGAAAAAGAAGAAAATAGAAGAGACATATGGTTCCAAGGGCTACGGAAACAAGTCACAGCTTCGGAACTACTGAAAGCAGAAATAATAGGTAAAGAGACGCTGAAGAGCCTGGAGGAAGGAAAGCAGACAGCAAAAGACGTGGCAAAGATCGACTCAGTGAAACGCTACCTGGAAGGCACCAGCTGCATTGCCGGAGTGCTTGTGCCGTCCAAGACGGATCCTTCCAAGACCGAGAAGATGAGCATCTACCAGGCCATGTGGAAGAATGTCTTGAGGCCAGGAACTGCTCTGGTGCTGCTGGAAGCACAAGCTGCCACTGGGTTCATCATTGACCCCCTGAAGAATGAGAGACTGTCTGTCGATGAGGCCATCTCTGCCAGACTGGTGGGTGGAGAAATTCACAACAAGCTCCTTTGTGCTGAGAAAGCTGTCACTGGATATACTGATCCAAACACAGGGAAAAATATATCTCTTTTCCAGGCCATGAAGAAAGATCTGATCATCAAAGAGCACGGCATCCGCCTGCTAGAAGCCCAGATTGCTACGGGGGGCATAATTGACCCAGTCAACAGCCATCGTGTCCCTGTTGAGGTGGCCTACAAACGGGGCTATTTTGATGAGAAAATGAACCAAATTCTCTCAGACCCCACGGATGACACCAAGGGCTTCTTCGACCCCAACACCCACGAGAACCTCACGTATATGCAGTTGCTTAAGAGATGTGTTCATGACACAGAAACGGGACTAATGATGCTTCAAATACAGGATAAGACCTCAATTGCCTTCAGTTTGGATGAAAATATAAAGAAGACTTTGAGGTCTACGACAACAAGAGTAAATGCGGGTGATTTCCAAGGACAAGTGGTTTCCCTTTGGGATCTCCTCTTCTCTAAATACATTACAGAAAATAAAAGCCAAGAGCTCATAAGACTGTACAAATCTGGAAAAACAACAATTGAGGAAATGATTGCTACGCTGATATCAACAATCAAAGAGAAAGAGGAGCAGAGCATCAATCAACAGAGAAAACTAGAACATGAAACCGTCCACCTGTCCTTTGAAGAGAACTGGCAGAAGACCTTGAAGTCCACGACCCTCCAAATGCCTGCTGGGCCGCAAAGAGGCCAGACGGTCACTGTGTGGGACCTGCTCTTCTCCCACTATATCACAGAAGAAAAGAGGGCAGAGTTCTTGGACTTGTACAAGAGGGGGATGATATCAGTGGACCGGTTGATCCATGTCCTCACCACCCTGGTCACCAAAAAGGAAGCCACAAGTAGGAAATTGGACATTAAAGTGAGAAGCCCCAGCAACGATGACCCTGAACGGGAGGAGGAGGAGAAGGATGATGATGATGATGATGATGAAGAGGAGATGGACGCGCCAGTACTGGGAGAAAAGGAAGTGGCTCTGAAATCCCGGAAGGTTAAAGTCACCGCAAGCGCGTTCCATGGAAGGGAGGTTTCCGTGTGGGACGTGCTCCACTCCAAATACATCCCTGAGGAGAAGCGGAAGGAGCTGCTTCAATGCTATAAATCCGGCATCCTCACCATTGACCAAATGGAAACTGTAGTCACCGCCATCGTCAACAAAACAGAGGAGGAGAAAACAAAGGAAGCATCCCACTCGCCCTCGGGAAGCTGGGAAGAGCCCTTGCGGAATCACACTGTGGTCCTGCATGTGGGTGAGTTCCAGGGGCAAGAAGTCTCCCTGTGGGACCTCCTCTTCTCTCAATACGTTCCAGAAGCCCAGAGAGAGGAGCTCTTCACAAAGTACCGGTCGGGAATCCTCAGCATTCAGGAAATGATCGTCACGCTGGCCCCTCTTCTCACAGAGACAGGAGGAAGCCACGGAGGAGATGGAGAAGCTCCCCGCAGTCCCAGCAGGGAAATATCCTCTCGCGAGGAAGAACTAGAAAGTGCCTTGCGGCAGGTGACCGTGGAGGTGCCCTCGGGCGAGTTCCAAGGCCACAGGCAGTCTGCATGGGACCTTCTCTTCTCCAAATACGTGACCGCAGACAAACGGCAGGAACTCCTGGAGAAGTACCGAGCAGGATCCTTGACCAGCGAGGAGCTCGTCCGAAGAATCACCATCCTCATTGAGGAGATGGAGGAAAAGAGCAACAAGCTGAAATTCTCCGGGCTCAGGAGGCAGGTGACAGCCTCGGAGCTCTTCAACTCGGAAATCATTGACAAGGAAACACTCTCTGAACTCACACACGGAACCAAAACTGTGGAAGAGGTCACGGAAAGAGATTCGGTGAAGCGCTACCTGGAGGGCACCAGCTGCATTGCCGGAGTTCTCGTGCCGTCCCGCTCAGACCCTTCCAAGACAGAGAAGATGACCATCTACCAGGCCATGTGGAAAGGCTTCTTGAGGCCGGGCACCGCCCTGGTGCTGCTGGAGGCCCAGGCCGCCACGGGGTTCATCACGGACCCTCTGAAGAACGAGAAGCTCTCTGTGGATGAAGCTGTCTCTGCCGAGCTGGTGGGGGCCGAGCTGAAGGAGAAGCTTCTCTCTGCAGAGAGAGCCGTGACCGGATACAACGACCCCTACACGGGGAACAAGATCTCCCTTTTCCAGGCCATGAAGAAAGGCCTCATCGTCAAAGATCACGGCATCCGCCTGCTGGAGGCTCAGATCGCCACTGGCGGCATCATCGACCCAGTGCAAAGTCATCGCCTGCCCGTCAACGTAGCATACAAGCGGGGCTTCTTTGACGAGGAAATGAACCGCGTCCTCTCAGATCCCTCCGATGACACCAAGGGCTTCTTTGACCCCAACACCCACGAGAACCTCACCTACTTGCAGCTCCGGCACAGGTGTCTCCCGATCCTGAGACCGGTCTGTTGATGCTGCAAGTGTTGGACAAGGGCTCCTTTTCCTTCTATCTGAACGACAGCACGAGAAAGGCCCTGCAGTCTGCCAAGACCAGGGTTGGCGTGGGCCTCTTCGTGGGCCAAGACGTCTCCGCCTGGGACCTCCTCTTCTCCAGATACATCTCTCCGCATAAGAGGATGGAGCTGCTGAAGCAGTACAAAGCTGGCACCCTAACCCTTGAGGAGATCACCCACATCCTCGTTACCACCGTTACCGAGACAGAGGAAAGGAACGCCAAGCCGATGGGCCATGAACACGCTCCACGTACACCTCAAGCAACATCACCAAAGCGAGACACTGCTCAGCCATCCTTCGAAGAGAACTGGCAGAAGACCTTGAAGTCCACGACCCTCCAAATGCCTGCTGGGCCACAAAGAGGCCAGACGGTCACTGTGTGGGACCTGCTCTTCTCCAACTATATCACAGAAGAAAAGAGGGCAGAGTTCTTGGACTTGTACAAGAGAGGGATGATATCAATGGACCGGTTGATCCATGTCCTCACCACCCTGGTCACCAAAAAGGAAGCCACAAGTAGGAAATTGGACATTAAAGTGAGAAGCCCCAGCAACGATGACCCTGAACGGGAGGAGGAGGAGAAGGATGATGATGATGATGATGATGAAGAGGAGATGGACGCGCCAGTACTGGGAGAAAAGGAAGAGGCTCTGAAATCCCGGAAGGTTAAAGTCACCGCAAGCGCGTTCCATGGAAGGGAGGTTTCCGTGTGGGACGTGCTCCACTCCAAATACATCCCTGAGGAGAAGCGGAAGGAGCTGCTTCAATGCTATAAATCCGGCATCCTCACCATTGACCAAATGGAAACTGTAGTCACCGCCATCGTCAACAAAACAGAGGAGGAGAAAACAAAGGAAGCATCCCACTCGCCCTCGGGAAGCTGGGAAGAGCCCTTGCGGAATCACACTGTGGTCCTGCATGTGGGTGAGTTCCAGGGGCAAGAAGTCTCCCTGTGGGACCTCCTCTTCTCTCAATACGTTCCAGAAGCCCAGAGAGAGGAGCTCTTCACAAAGTACCGGTCGGGAATCCTCAGCATTCAGGAAATGATCGTCACGCTGGCCCCTCTTCTCACAGAGACAGGAGGAAGCCACGGAGAAGATGGAGAAGCTCCCCGCAGTCCCAGCAGGGAAATATCCTCTCGCAAGGAAGAACTAGAAAGTGCCTTGCGGCAGGTGACCGTGGAGGTGCCCTCGGGCGAGTTCCAAGGCCACAGGCAGTCCGCATGGGACCTTCTCTTCTCCAAATACGTGACCGCAGACAAACGGCAGGAACTCCTGGAGAAGTACCGAGCAGGATCCTTGACCAGCGAGGAGCTCGTCCGAAGAATCACCATCCTCATTGAGGAGATGGAGGAAAAGAGCAACAAGCTGAAATTCTCCGGGCTCAGGAGGCAGGTGACAGCCTCGGAGCTCTTCAACTCGGAAATCATTGACAAGGAAACACTCTCTGAACTCACGCACGGAACCAAAACTGTGGAAGAGGTCACGGAAAGAGATTCGGTGAAGCGCTACCTGGAGGGCACCAGCTGCATTGCCGGAGTTCTCGTGCCGTCCCGCTCAGACCCTTCCAAGACAGAGAAGATGACCATCTACCAGGCCATGTGGAAAGGCTTCTTGAGGCCGGGCACCGCCCTGGTGCTGCTGGAGGCCCAGGCCGCCACCGGGTTCATCACGGACCCTCTGAAGAACGAGAAGCTCTCTGTGGATGAAGCTGTCTCTGCTGAGCTGGTGGGCGCCGAGCTGAAGGAGAAGCTTCTCTCTGCAGAGAGGCCGTGACCGGATACAACGACCCCTACACGGGGAACAAGATCTCCCTTTTCCAGGCCATGAAGAAAGGCCTCATCGTCAAAGATCACGGCATCCGCCTGCTGGAGGCTCAGATCGCCACTGGCGGCATCATCGACCCAGTGCAAAGTCATCGCCTGCCCGTCAACGTAGCATACAAGCGGGGCTTCTTTGACGAGGAAATGAACCGCGTCCTCTCAGATCCCTCCGATGACACCAAGGGCTTCTTTGACCCCAACACCCACGAGAACCTCACCTACTTGCAGCTCCGGCACAGGTGTCTCCCGATCCTGAGACCGGTCTGTTGATGCTGCAAGTGTTGGACAAGGGCTCCTTTTCCTTCTATCTGAACGACAGCACGAGAAAGGCCCTGCAGTCTGCCAAGACCAGGGTTGGCGTGGGCCTCTTCGTGGGCCAAGACGTCTCCGCCTGGGACCTCCTCTTCTCCAGATACATCTCTCCGCATAAGAGGATGGAGCTGCTGAAGCAGTACAAAGCTGGCACCCTAACCCTTGAGGAGATCACCCACATCCTCGTTACCACCGTTACCGAGACAGAGGAAAAGAACGCCAAGCTGACGGGCCATGAACACGCTCCACGTACACCTCAAGCAACATCACCAAAGCGAGACACTGCTCAGCCATCCTTCGAAGAGAACTGGCAGAAGACCTTGAAGTCCACGACCCTCAAAATGCCTGCTGGGCCACAAAGAGGCCAGACGGTCACTGTGTGGGACCTGCTCTTCTCCAACTATATCACAGAAGAAAAGAGGGCAGAGTTCTTGGACTTGTACAAGAGAGGGATGATATCAATGGACCGGTTGATCCATGTCCTCACCACCCTGGTCACCAAAAAGGAAGCCACAAGTAGGAAATTGGACATTAAAGTGAGAAGCCCCAGCAACGATGACCCTGAACGGGAGGAGGAGGAGGAGAAGGATGATGATGATGAAGAGGAGATGGACGCGCCAGTACTGGGAGAAAAGGAAGCGGCTCTGAAATCCCGGAAGGTTAAAGTCACCGCAAGCGCGTTCCATGGAAGGGAGGTTTCCGTGTGGGACGTGCTCCACTCCAAATACATCCCTGAGGAGAAGCGGAAGGAGCTGCTTCAATGCTATAAATCCGGCATCCTCACCATTGACCAAATGGAAACTGTAGTCACCGCCATCGTCAACAAAACAGAGGAGGAGAAAACAAAGGAAGCATCCCACTCGCCCTCGGGAAGCTGGGAAGAGCCCTTGCGGAATCACACTGTGGTCCTGCATGTGGGTGAGTTCCAGGGGCAAGAAGTCTCCCTGTGGGACCTCCTCTTCTCTCAATACGTTCCAGAAGCCCAGAGAGAGGAGCTCTTCACAAAGTACCGGTCGGGAATCCTCAGCATTCAGGAAATGATCGTCACGCTGGCCCCTCTTCTCACAGAGACAGGAGGAAGCCACGGAGAAGATGGAGAAGCTCCCCGCAGTCCCAGCAGGGAAATATCCTCTCGCGAGGAAGAACTAGAAAGTGCCTTGCGCAGGGTGACCGTGGAGGTGCCCTCGGGCGAGTTCCAAGGCCACAGGCAGTCCGCATGGGACCTTCTCTTCTCCAAATACGTGACCGCAGACAAACGGCAGGAACTCCTGGAGAAGTACCGAGCAGGATCCTTGACCAGCGAGGAGCTCGTCCGAAGAATCACCATCCTCATTGAGGAGATGGAGGAAAAGAGCAACAAGCTGAAATTCTCCGGGCTCAGGAGGCAGGTGACAGCCTCGGAGCTCTTCAACTCGGAAATCATTGACAAGGAAACACTCTCTGAACTCACACACGGAACCAAAACTGTGGAAGAGGTCACGGAAAGAGATTCGGTGAAGCGCTACCTGGAGGGCACCAGCTGCATTGCCGGAGTTCTCGTGCCGTCCCGCTCAGACCCTTCCAAGACAGAGAAGATGACCATCTACCAGGCCATGTGGAAAGGCTTCTTGAGGCCGGGCACCGCCCTGGTGCTGCTGGAGGCCCAGGCCGCCACCGGGTTCATCACGGACCCTCTGAAGAACGAGAAGCTCTCTGTGGATGAAGCTGTCTCTGCCGAGCTGGTGGGCGCCGAGCTGAAGGAGAAGCTTCTCTCTGCAGAGAGAGCCGTGACCGGATACAACGACCCCTACACGGGGAACAAGATCTCCCTTTTCCAGGCCATGAAGAAAGGCCTCATCGTCAAAGATCACGGCATCCGCCTGCTGGAGGCTCAGATCGCCACTGGCGGCATCATCGACCCAGTGCAAAGTCATCGCCTGCCCGTCAACGTAGCATACAAGCGGGGCTTCTTTGACGAGGAAATGAACCGCGTCCTCTCAGATCCCTCCGATGACACCAAGGGCTTCTTTGACCCCAACACCCACGAGAACCTCACCTACTTGCAGCTCCGGCACAGGTGTCCCCGATCCTGAGACCGGTCTGTTGATGCTGCAAGTGTTGGACAAGGGCTCCTTTTCCTTCTATCTGAACGACAGCACGAGAAAGGCCCTGCAGTCTGCCAAGACCAGGGTTGGCGTGGGCCTCTTCGTGGGCCAAGACGTCTCCGCCTGGGACCTCCTCTTCTCCAGATACATCTCTCCGCATAAGAGGATGGAGCTGCTGAAGCAGTACAAAGCTGGCACCCTAACCCTTGAGGAGATCACCCACATCCTCGTTACCACCGTTACCGAGACAGAGGAAAGGAACGCCAAGCCGATGGGCCATGAACACGCTCCACGTACACCTCAAGCAACATCACCAAAGCGAGACACTGCTCAGCCATCCTTCGAGGAGAACTGGCAGAAGACCTTGAAGTCCACGACCCTCCAAATGCCTGCCGGGCCACAAAGAGGCCAGACGGTCACGGTGTGGGACCTGCTCTTCTCCAACTATATCACAGAAGAAAAGAGGGCAGAGTTCTTGGACTTGTACAAGAGGGGGATGATATCAGTGGACCGGTTGATCCATGTCCTCACCACCCTGGTCACCAAAAAGGAAGCCACAAGTAGGAAATTGGACATTAAAGTGAGAAGCCCCAGCAACGATGACCCTGAGCGGGAGGAGGAGGAGGAAGAAGACAATGATGATGATGATGAAGAGGAGATGGATGCGCCAGTACTGGGAGAAAAAGAAGTGGCTCTGAAATCCCGGAAGGTTAAAGTCACCGCAAGCGCGTTCCATGGAAGGGAGGTTTCCGTGTGGGACGTGCTCCACTCCAAATACATCCCTGAGGAGAAGCGGAAGGAGCTGCTTCAATGCTATAAATCCGGCATCCTCACCATTGACCAAATGGAAACTGTAGTCACCGCCATCGTCAACAAAACAGAGGAGGAGAAAACAAAGGAAGCATCCCACTCGCCCTCGGGAAGCTGGGAAGAGCCCTTGCGGAATCACACTGTGGTCCTGCATGTGGGTGAGTTCCAGGGGCAAGAAGTCTCCCTGTGGGACCTCCTCTTCTCTCAATACGTTCCAGAAGCCCAGAGAGAGGAGCTCTTCACAAAGTACCGGTCGGGAATCCTCAGCATTCAGGAAATGATCGTCACACTGGCCGCTCTTCTCACAGAGACAGGAGGAAGTCACGGTGGAGATGGAGAAGCTCCCCACAGTCCTAGCAGGGAAACATCCTTGTGCGAGGAAGAACTAGAAAGTGCCTTGCGCCGGGTGACCGTGGAGGTGCCCTCGGGCGAGTTCCAAGGCCACAGGCAGTCCGCATGGGACCTTCTCTTCTCCAGATACATCTCTCCGCATAAGAGGATGGAGCTGCTGAAGCAGTACAAAGCTGGCACCCTAACCCTTGAGGAGATCACCCACATCCTCGTTACCACCGTTACCGAGACAGAGGAAAAGAATGCCAAGCTGACGGGCCATGAACACGCTCCACGTACACCTCAAGCAACATCACCAAAGCGAGACACTGCTCAGCCATCCTTCGAAGAGAACTGGCAGAAGACCTTGAAGTCCACGACCCTCCAAATGCCTGCTGGGCCGCAAAGAGGCCAGACGGTCACTGTGTGGGACCTGCTCTTCTCCAACTATATCACAGAAGAAAAGAGGGCAGAGTTCTTGGACTTGTACAAGAGGGGGATGATATCAGTGGACCGGTTGATCCATGTCCTCACCACCCTGGTCACCAAAAAGGAAACCACAAGTAGGAAATTGGACATTAAAGTGAGAAGCCCCAGCAATGATGACCCTGAATGGGAGGAGGAACAGAAGGATGATGATGATGATGATGAAGGGGAGATGGACGCGCCAGTACTGGGAGAAAAGGAAGTGGCTCTGAAATCCCGGAAGGTTAAAGTCACCGCAAGCGCGTTCCATGGAAGGGAGGTTTCCGTGTGGGACGTGCTCCACTCCAAATACATCCCTGAGGAGAAGCGGAAGGAGCTGCTTCAATGCTATAAATCCGGCATCCTCACCATTGACCAAATGGAAACTGTAGTCACCGCCATCGTCAACAAAACAGAGGAGGAGAAAACAAAGGAAGCATCCCACTCGCCCTCGGGAAGCTGGGAAGAGCCCTTGCGGAATCACACTGTGGTCCTGCATGTGGGTGAGTTCCAGGGGCAAGAAGTCTCCCTGTGGGACCTCCTCTTCTCTCAATACGTTCCAGAAGCCCAGAGAGAGGAGCTCTTCACAAAGTACCGGTCGGGAATCCTCAGCATTCAGGAAATGATCGTCACGCTGGCCCCTCTTCTCACAGAGACAGGAGGAAGCCACGGAGGAGATGGAGAAGCTGCCCGCAGTCCCAGCAGGGAAATATCCTCTCGCGAGGAAGAACTAGAAAGTGCCTTGCGGCAGGTGACCGTGGAGGTGCCCTCGGGCGAGTTCCAAGGCCACAGGCAGTCTGCATGGGACCTTCTCTTCTCCAAATACGTGACCGCAGACAAACGGCAGGAACTCCTGGAGAAGTACCGAGCAGGATCCTTGACCAGCGAGGAGCTCGTCCGAAGAATCACCATCCTCATTGAGGAGATGGAGGAAAAGAGCAACAAGCTGAAATTCTCCGGGCTCAGGAGGCAGGTGACAGCCTCGGAGCTCTTCAACTCGGAAATCATTGACAAGGAAACACTCTCTGAACTCACACACGGAACCAAAACTGTGGAAGAGGTCACGGAAAGAGATTCGGTGAAGCGATATCTGGAGGGCACCAGCTGCATTGCCGGAGTTCTCGTGCCGTCCCGCTCAGACCCTTCCAAGACAGAGAAGATGACCATCTACCAGGCCATGTGGAAAGGCTTCTTGAGGCCGGGCACCGCCCTGGTGCTGCTGGAGGCCCAGGCCGCCACAGGGTTCATCACGGACCCTCTGAAGAACGAGAAGCTGTCTGTGGATGAAGCTGTCTCTGCCGAGCTGGTGGGGGCCGAGCTGAAGGAGAAGCTTCTCTCTGCAGAGAGCCGTGACCGGATACAACGACCCCTACACGGGGAACAAGATCTCCCTTTTCCAGGCCATGAAGAAAGGCCTCATCGTCAAAGATCACGGCATCCGCCTGCTGGAGGCTCAGATCGCCACTGGCGGCATCATCGACCCAGTGCAAAGTCATCGCCTGCCCGTCAACGTAGCATACAAGCGGGGCTTCTTTGACGAGGAAATGAACCGCGTCCTCTCAGATCCCTCCGATGACACCAAGGGCTTCTTTGACCCCAACACCCACGAGAACCTCACCTACTTGCAGCTCCGGCACAGGTGTCTCCCCGATCCTGAGACCGGTCTGTTGATGCTGCAAGTGTTGGACAAGGGCTCCTTTTCCTTCTATCTGAACGACAGCACGAGAAAGGCCCTGCAGTCTGCCAAGACCAGGGTTGGCGTGGGCCTCTTCGAGGGCCAAGACGTCTCTGCCTGGGACCTCCTCTTCTCCAGATACATCTCTCCGCATAAGAGGATGGAGCTGCTGAAGCAGTACAAAGCTGGCACCCTAACCCTTGAGGAGATCACCCACATCCTCGTTACCACCGTTACCGAGACAGAGGAAAAGAACGCCAAGCTGACGGGCCATGAACACGCTCCACGTACACCTCAAGCAACATCACCAAAGCGAGACACTGCTCAGCCATCCTTCGAAGAGAACTGGCAGAAGACCTTGAGGTCCACGACCCTCCAAATGCCTGCTGGGCCGCAAAGAGGCCAGACGGTCACTGTGTGGGACCTGCTCTTCTCCAACTATATCACAGAAGAAAAGAGGGCAGAGTTCTTGGACTTGTACAAGAGAGGGATGATATCAGTGGACCGGTTGATCCATGTCCTCACCACCCTGGTCACCAAAAAGGAAGCCACAAGTAGGAAATTGGACATTAAAGTGAGAAGCCCCAGCAACGATGACCCTGAGCAGGAGGAGGAGGAGGAAGACGATCATTATGATGATGATGATGAGGAGGATGATGATGAAGAGGAGATGGACGCGCCAGTACTGGGAGAAAAAGAAGCGGCTCTGAAATCTCGGAAGGTTAAAGTCACCGCAAGCGCATTCCATGGAAGGAAGGTCTCCGTGTGGGACGTGCTCCACTCCAAATACATCCCTGAGGAGAAGCGGAAGGAGCTGCTTCAATGCTATAAATCCGGCATCCTCACCATTGACCAAATGGAAACTGTAGTCACCGCCATCGTCAACAAAACAGAGAAGGAGAAAACAAAGGAAGCATCCCACTCGCCCTCGGAAAGCTGGGAGGAGCCCTTGCGGAATCACACTGTGGTCCTGCATGTGGGTGAGTTCCAGGGGCAAGAAGTCTCCCTGTGGGACCTCCTCTTCTCTCAGTACATCTCAGAGGGCAAAAGAGAAGAGCTTCTAAGCATATATAGACATTGTCAACTTACTCCTGAGGAATTGGCAGCTGTTCTTTCTACTCTTATTACTGAAATGTCAGAGCAAGGTAATAAATTTTCAGCAGATAATCTATCAGCTGCTGACATGTCTTCATCTGGGACAGAAGAAGCATCACTTCTGGAATGGGAAGAAAAGGAAAAAGCTCTGAAATCCCGAATGGTGGAAGTCACCACAGGTGATTTCCGTGGACAGAAACTTTCTGTATGGGACATCCTTCACTCCAAGTACATCCCTGAGGAGAAGCAGAAGGAGTTGTTGAAGCTGTACAAATCTGGTATCCTCACCATTGACCAAGTAGAAACTGTTGCCACCTCCATTGTCACTAAAACTGAGGAGCATCCGGAGAGGACTTCACATCTTAGCAGTGACACAACTGAGCAAAAGGATACTGAAGCTCCAGAGTCATCATACTATGACCTTCTCCAGCACACCTTGCGCCTTAAAAACATTGATGTCACCATACGAGAAGTCCATGGTCAAAAGGCTTCCGTCTGGGATCCTTTCTTTTCACGGTTTGTCTCTAATATCAGGAAAGAGGAGATTGTACACAGACATGGAGCACCAACAGTAAGCGTTAAAGAAAGTATTCAAAGCATCACTACACTTATTACAGAACCCGCAATGGGTAGTGGCACACCATGCAGAAGTGAGGAAACTCCCACTGAAGACATTAAACCACCCAGAACACTTGACGCTTCTCAGGCAGAAGACCAAGAGAAAACACAGGATTCTTTGAAATCCAGACTGGTCAACGTATCCATTGGTCAATTCCATGAGCCCCATATATCACTGTGGGATCTACTCCATTCTCATTATATCCCTGAGGAGAAACGGAAGGAGCTGCTGCAACTGTACCAATCTGGCATCCTCACCATTGACCAAATGGAAACTGTCATGACTTCAATCATCAACAGAACAGAGGAGGAGAAAGTCACTGACCCTGGATGTGTTGCAAGTCCAAACCAAGAGACACGGTTGCCAGAAAGAGATGAGAACGTTTGCCTCTCCCCTTCCTCTTCTTTGGAAAACATGCTACGCTCTGAGAGTTTTGTGGTGCCAGTTGGAGAGTTCAAAGGGCAGATGGTGTCTTGCTGGAATCTTCTCTCCTCCAAATACATCTCAGAGGAGAAGAAGCAGGAACTTCTAAACAAATGTGAAGCCAAAGTGCTCTCTGTGCAGGAACTTATCGGCATTCTCACCAACATCATCACCAAAATGGAAAAGTGTGACAGAGATCAGTCAGCAAGTGCGGAGGGCAGCCTCACAGAGGAACACGTCGATTCACATGCACGGCAGCAGCAGCTGAGGAAATCCTTGAGGACAACTATGGTCCACGTGACTGCCGGAGAGTACAAGGGGCAAAAGGTGTGTGTGCTGGATCTTCTGTTTTCTAAGTATGTCCCTCAAGATAAAAGGCAAGAGCTCCTTGAACTGTACAGAGCAGGGACACTGCCCATTCAAGAAATGATAACCACGATCACTGCCATGATTGATGAGGTTGAAAGCAAGCATGGGAAGCACAACAGAAAAATGTCCTGCAGAAAAGGGAAAGTATGTTGGAAGGACCAGGGTGCCCACTCATAGCCAACTGAGTCATCAAAGCCCGGTGGCTCATTCGACTCTCTCTGACCAAAGGCTGCCTGCCCCCCTCCTCCAGCCTCCATCCTTAACCAGCATTCTCCTTCACAAGCACACCAAGGACGGGCCCTGTCAGCAGGAAGCCCTTCATCCGCTGTGACCTTCTGAGAGAGTTCTTCATGCTCTCGTTTCTCTCCGTTCTCTACGGCTGCATTTGCACACTGGTGGGGGGCCTGGGGCAATTCTTGTCTTGAGCATCTGGACTTCTTCCCTGTATTGCCAGTCACAACTGAAAGAAGTTCTGCTCACACAGCACTCTCCCAAATGTGGCAAGTACCTCAGGGACTTTCTAGGAAATTCTACTCCGGGTTTCTATTTGGGAACATTTGTGTGCCCTGAAAGGCATGGGGTGTGTGTGAAAATAGTGTCTGTGACTTCAAGCAATCTCTGCATGAAACAGAGGGGTCTCCATCATCACTGGTGGCTACTCAAGGATGGTGCAACCTGGGTGCAACCAAGGACAAGAGTGAATTATTCGTGACTTGAGGGTGCATTGAGAGTGCTCAAAAGCAGAATGTTACTCCCCCCACCCCCTTCAGAATCTCTTAAGCTGGTCTGTGGAGTTCACAGTGGGAAATGACTTGGGCTGAATACTTGATTTCCACATCCACCCATTTTTTGGTCAAGCGCAGCTTTTTCCCTGTAGATTGTGGGGACCATAGGAAACTTGGCTTCCATTTTCACTGATCTTTGTTTCTTCCACACCTGGGGTTGCAACACCTGCCCTGGAAACATTGCAAGTGGGCTGAAGCTGTGAGGCCAGGTCCAAAGGCCCTTCCATTCTGTGACGGGTTCCAGAGCGGGTCCTTCATGAGAAAGGACACTGGAAGGATGTCACAGAGCAACTACTCAGCTTGACTGTTTCTGCTAACAATAAAGGACAACTTTAAAACTCTCTGTAGGGCTATGTGGCTGCATTGACATTTCTTCTGAAGATCCATTGTTTCTCAGTCTCCTAAAGATGGACAGTTTCATTCATTCATTCATTCCAGAATTTAGTATTTATAGGCAAAGTCCTCCTCCCAATCTAGCTTACGTAAAACATGAAAAACTTGAAATAAGTCTTAAATATACATAGAAACAACCCAATTAAAACCAGCAGCAGTTAAAACAATATATAGCCCAGCTCACAGTGTGCTTAACGAAAAGCTGGCTGAAACCTTTTAAGGCCTGTTTGAAAGCTCATGGGCCCTTCCTCGTACATTGCCTGTCTCTGTTGCCCCCTGGGCCGATGGGTCTGGACAGCCGAACCTGTGAGCAGAGGCCCTCTGAGGTCAAGTTCAAGTCCCAAAGCTAAAAGTCAACAGTGCTTAAAACTGAGTTGAAATAAAGCAGGCAGTCAACGTAACCAGTGCAGTATAAGGTCATGAGAGTGGTTAGGGCAGGGGTAGCCAACGTGGTGCCCTCCAGATGTTGTTGGACTACAACTCCCATCAGCCCATGAGCATGGCCATTGGTCAAGGAAGGTAGGAATTGTATTCCAACAACATCTGGAGGGCACCACAATGGCTACCCCTATGTTAGGCAACTTCTTGACGAACTATAATTCCCAGCACCCTGGGGGAAGCCATGACTGTCCAAGTGGTATAATGGGGCTTGAGATGCCTGGTGGGGCTGTGACCTCGGTGTTCTAGGATCCAAATCATAGAATCATAGAATCATAGAGTTGGAAGAGACCCCAAGGGCCATCGAGTCCAACCCCCTGCCAAGCAGGAAACACCATCAGAGCACTCCTGACATATGGTTGTCGAGCCTCTGCTTAAAGACCTCCAAAGAAGGAGACTCCACCACACTCCTTGGCAGCAAATTCCACTGTCAAACAGCTCTTACTGTCAGGAAGTTCTTCCTAATGTTTAGGTGGAATCTTCTTTCTTGTAGTTTGGATCCATTGCTCCGTGTCCGCTTCTCTGGAGCAGCAGAAAACAACCTTTCTCCCTCCTCTGTCATATGACCCCCAGCCATTTTTATAGAGGAGACCGTGGGGGTAGCAGCCATGTTAGGCTGTCCAGCAAAAACAACGAAGGCCCTTTGGGGCTCATTAATACTAACCTGGGCTCCTTTAGGAAGATGGGCAGGACAGACATTGAATAATAAATAAACAAAAGGAAGAAGGAGAGCCCAGCAGTTGCATCAGACCAAAGACTCAGCTAATCTAGAAGGCTCCTCTCATGGGGGGCAGCCAAATACCCTGTGGGAAAGGGTATTTAAAGGGGGAACCAGAAAATTGCAGGCCAGTTAGCTTATCATCCCTTCCACAAAAATTGGCTTGAAGCATTATTAACGATAGAATTACCAAGCATACAGAAGAACAAGTCTTGCTCAAGCAAAGTCAGCATGGCTTCTGCAAGGGCAAACTGTGTCTCACTGATCTTTTAAAGTTCTCCAAGAGTGCCATTCAGCATATCGACCGAAGTGATTCAGATGTCACTGTGTACTTGGACTTCCACACAACTTTTGACTAACTACCGTACTTTTCTCTCTATAACACGCAGATTTTTTCTCCTAAAAAGTAAGGGGAAATGTCTGTGCGTGTTATTGAGCGAATGTGTGGTCCCTGGAGCCGACCCTCCCGAGCACAGGGGCAAAAATCAGGCAAAAATCCAATCGCGCGCGTCAGGGAGGAGGGAGCTCCGTGAGAGAGGAAGCTGTTGCTTTCCTGCATTCTGCCTCAGGATCTTACTGCCCACCCTCTTCTGTTTCGGTTGCTGTTTGCTCAAACAGAACAAAGAGCAGGCAAATCCCCTCCCCTCCAGGCAAGCAGAGGGGAAAGGAAAGGATCGTGTCCTTCCTTCTAATTCCTCTCCGTGCTCCGGTGCTGCTGCGTCCAGGGAAGCGTTTTAGGGACTCACAGGCAGCCGGAAAACATGCAGGTGGGGGGGGGGAGAGAGAGAGAGGGCTGGCTTGGGTGTGTGTGTGGGGGAAAACTTTTGCCTTCCTTTCCTCCCTCCCTTTAAATCCCTCTCCTGCATTCTTAGCCAGCTGCTTCTCTGCGCACCCCTCTCGTGCTCCTTGTCCCTTCTGTGTTTTTCCTTCCCTCCCCACATAAAACATGGTTACAAAGCACGGATCCACATGGATCCTCAGGATCTTTGCATTGGGTCACCCCAAATTCACCATCAGATCACATTACATGTCCATGGCTACAGCCTGCACCAAAAAAATCACGCACCCACTGTTGCCTGGGGCTGCAGTGGTGCAAAAACGTGGTTACAAAGCATGGATCCACATGGATCCTCAGGATCTTTGCATTGGGTCACCCCAAATTCACCATCAGATCACATGTCTGTGGCCACAGCATGAGGCACAAAAATGATACATCCACTGTTTCTTCAGAATTTTTTCCCCTTGTTTTCCTCCTCTAAAAACAATGAGCGTGTTATGGTCAGGTGCGTGTTATAGAGCGAAAAATACGGTACTTCACCAGCCACAGACTCCTGAGAAAGCTTAGTAGGCATGGAATAAGAGGAGAGATCCTCTTGGGTGTGAATAATTGGTTAAGAAACAAGAAGCAAAGAATAGGAATAAATGGACAGGTCTCCAAGTGGATATAGAAAGTGGAGTCCCCCAAGGATCTATATTGGGGCCTGTGCTTTTTAACTTGCTCATAAAATATCTAGAGACAGGGCTAGGCGATGAGGTGCCCACGTTTGCTGATGACACTAAATTGTTCAGGGTCATTAAAACAAAAAGAGACTGGAGAAGAGTGCCAAAAGGACCTCTCCAAACACTTCTGGGCATAGGTCTGTGCTTTAAAGCTCTGTGTCTGAGCACCATTTTTGCTTTCTCTGTGAAAATACCCTCTTGACCACCGAATCAGAGCAAACAGCAAGTCACAGAAATGTGTGGATGAGCTGCTGTCTCTTCCGTCCCTCACCCAACCACAGCCCTGATAGAGAAGAGAAGCTTCCTGCCCAGGCTGGGGGGGTCCCTCTGCGCACCCCGTCCCAGAAAGGCAGCGGCAGCAGCAACCAGCCAGGAAGCCCACAGCCAGTGTCTGCAATGGGGAAGCCAAGCTCCCATTGACCCACGGCTGCCACAGGGCAGTGACTGGGTCCCACCAGCTCCTGACGTGTTGTTGGCCTCTCATCCCCACCTTAGGGCTGAGAGCTACCATTTCAGACTGTGGGATGACTCTGTCAGAACCGAGACCCTGGAGGCAGAGGAAATCCAGACATCGGGCAAGGATCAGCCCTGGCAAGCAGCCTGGCAGGGGCCACAGAGACTGCAGACTTCCACGGAGGCCTTACGTGCCTTCCTCCTGAGGGTTATACCTGGTGGAGTCCACAGTGCAAGGTGCCTAGATGGAGAAAGAGGCAGCAGAGATCACCACCTGTACCCCAAACCATCTTCCTCTCCTGGGCTCATGAGGGAGGCCTTCCCTTCCTGATTCAGCTCTATGGGCTTCGCAAGCCTCAGACTGGCACCTGAGCAGTGAGTGTCAGGGCAAAAGGGGAGTGAACTGGGGAGGGCCGGGCAATGGCTGGGTTTCAACATTGTGACCTATCACCATCTATCAACATTGCAATATGCCAATACATCACAGTGTCTGAAATAAGGATGGAACCATGTAGAGGCAAACTGAGAAACCAGGGGTAGCAGATGGAGGAAATATGGAGGGAGGCAGGGGGAAGAAAGTGGGGTGCCACAAGAGTCGGGAGACAGACACATCGGATCCAGTGAAACAGAATCTCATGGAATGATGAAACTATTTGAACACACAACCACCGTCAAATGCTATTGGCTGAACCTTAAAGATCCACTGCACAGATGATGGCAATTTTTAAATAATTGTATTTCAGGTACTCTCTGTCCCTCTCCACCCTGAGGCATTGAAAAATGGGCAAAGATTGATTTCAAGTTTTGCATTGGGGGGGGGGGGAGACATTGGTTGTCACTAAAAGGAGCTTTCCAGCACTGGCATGAGGGAAAACATGGCTCAGAGGCATGGAGAGTTACAGAACCTCATAATCTGTTTCACTGAATCACAGGTTGCCTCTTTGTCCACACAGCTCTTCTGTGGTTTCTTGATGGTTTTCCTGCCATTCTGTGCAAAATTCACAAAGCTCCTCGATAATCCATGCCTTGAAACAATGTTGTTGTGGAAGGTTCAGTCCCCAAAGGCATATCCAAGTACGAGAGGCAATGGGGAAACCCAGCCAGGTGGGCAGGGTATAAATAAGAAATTAATAAGAATAAGAATGATTATTGTTACTATTATTATGACTCCACCTGAAATCCTGGAGAGCTGCTGCCAGGCCGTGTGGGCAACACTGAGCTGGAGGAACCAAGGGTCTGACTCGCTGCCAGAGCAAGCCCTGAAGGGTCTCTATCTGCAGGCTGTGAACCCAGAAACTGCTGTGCGGAGGCACTTACTGCCTCCTGCTGTGGAGAGAAATCATAAAGTTGGAAGGGACCCCCAAGAGTCAGGAATCGTGGCCTCAGGAGCTGGGAGCCATCAGTGGCCTGATCCTCTGTGAATTTGTCTGATTGCCTTTAACGCCATCCAAGTTGGTGACCATCATCGCTACCTCTGGGAGAGAAGGCCTTTGCTTCACCCTTCTGCCCTGTGGCAAGAAGGGCTTTCTTCCTCTGCCCTGAATCTCCCAACATTCAGCTTCACTGGGTGATCCTGCGGGGCTCCAGTCTTACACAAGAGGTGGAAAGCCCTGCTGACATGCCCCACCCCAAGCCGAGACTCCAATGGGGGGCAGTTTCTGGGTTGGGTTGTGGCAGCTGAGGCCACATTAAACCCAAGAACCTCTGAGGTGGCTTGACCCCTTTCACCTCTTGGCACTGGCTCTCCTCTGCCACACCACGTCCCAATGTCACCGTGCTGGAGGCAGGACCAGTTCCCAGAATCTGGCTGCAGGCTTGGGGGTCCATGGGCAATGTGTCCCCTCTTGGGCCAGCTCCAGATCTAGCCACCCTTTAAAATTCCCATGATGCCCCAGCGTGATGTTAGGTCAGGGGCATTGTGGGAAATTAAATGGGGTCTAGGTGCAGCTGCCCTGAGCTGGGCCATGGAAGGAAACTTTTAAGGTGGGGTGGGGAGAATTGGGCCAGGCGTCAGCAGGACACCCTCAGCTCTGGCCCCAGTGCTGGGCCCTGGCAGGATGTAAAGAAGAAGAAGACAGAGAAAGGTTTCTCAAAGATGCTGGGGGGGGGTGGTGGTTTATTTTTATATTTTGGCTTCAAGGGCTTATCTCACTTGTTCCTCTATCAGCAGCTCAAAAACCATCCAGTTTGAAGACTTTATGGGGTAAATCTCCTTCAAGCTGAACTGGAGTGGGCTAATATAACAATAAACCACCACTCTTTCCAGCATCTCTGAAAACATTTCTCTCTCTTTTTGGTTTACATTATTGGACACTTCCTGCTTCCCACCAGCAACCCAAGGATGCTAGAAGCTGACACCAGCCCTACCAGTTTCCCCGTCCCAAACTGGGCCGTGATGTGGGCAGTAGGCCAGGGGGTGTCCCAAACTCCATCAATGCAACAGAAAATGGAAAGAAGCCCAGCCGGCCCAGAGGGAAGAAGGAAGCTGCCAGGTGTGGGCAGGGTGCCCCCCAGCGGCCATGTGGCAGACTCAGGCTCAGCCTCCTCAGCATGGCCTGGACCCCTCAGTGCAGGATTCAACCGTGAAGGAGCCCCCTTGTCACCTGCTCTCCCTTCACCTGAGCACCAGCCGCCTCAGCACCCAAAGAGGGGTGTCTTCATGCCCAGCTCTTGGTGGGCACCAGAGACAGAGGAATTTCAGTGGTGCCACCCTCTTTTGGCTTTTCAAAGAGCTTTGAGGACCCATCTGTCTCAATCTGCTTTTAGCTGAGATGGCAATTTGTCTGCTGGTTTGAAACTGTATTTCGGCATGAAATTAAGGGGTTTTGTTGAAATTGTAAACTGCTTAGAGGTTTTACTACAGTTAAGTGGTATATATGATTTTGTTAATTGAATAAATCAAAACCGATAGTGTGTTTTTACTGAGTTTTAGCCTCCTTGGGAGATTTCTTTCCCTTGTAAGGAAGCCTGTCTGGGCACAGTGATTGCTCAGTGAGCAGGGAAAACATCTCTCTGCCCAGGCTCAGAGGTGCTGCCCCCTATAGTGTCAAAGTACTTGCTGGCCTCAGTAAGCCAGGGGACCCAGCAGGGGGTGCCAGCTGACCAGGATCTGGCCCTGAAAGAGGGCGAGGAGGAACTCTGCACCAGAGGCCCTCCTTCTCTGCCACCACTGCACCCAGGTCACGTCACCCACGTTTTAGAATCGAATGCCTACTGTATGTATGTATGTGCAAATGTGTATCTATCTCTATACATACTGTATGCAGATATGTGTCAGCTGGAGCAGCCACACCTGGCTGAATCATTCAGGTGTTTTCCAAGACGGCAGGTGGGTTTAGGGGCTTCCACTCCAGGCTTTTGGGAGATGCAGAGAGGGCTCTGATGATCAGAGGGGGGCACCAAAGAGGGGGCCTTTCAGCCCCCCCCCCACGTCCTCCTCATGCCCTCCAACATTTCTTTGATGGAAATAGGGACATTCTGTTCTACATCAATGTGCGGCATCTATGTGTGCTGGAGATGAAACATGGGAGCAGCTTCCTGATGTAGAATGGTCACCTGGAGCAAATGACCACCTCTCTGCCGAACATACCTCATAGGGTTGTTGTGAAGAAAAAATGAGTGAGCGAAGGGATCATGTAGAACATCTTCCGCAGATAAGGAGAATGAAATAAAATAATAAAATTTTACCTGGAAGCTGCCTTGAGTCCCTGACAGGGGAAAAGGTGAATAATAATAATAATAATAATAATAATAATAATACAGAAGCTGTTGAGAATGATCAGGAACTTACTAGAGAGTAAAAATGCTTCGGATTGGAGTGTAAGGCTGCCCAGTCTGGACCCAGTTACTTGGGAGTAATACAGTGAGACTTACTTCTGAGTAGACAGCATAAGGTTCCATTTACAATAAAGGAATCAATACTCCATGCATTTCCTCTGAGGGACGGGTCTGATCTCTTCACCACTTTCAATTGTTCTCCAGGATGTGGAAAAGCAGGACCTTCTGGGGTCAAATCAGACACTGGAACGGCTTCTGTCATTCTGGGACTGTCTCTGGAAAATCAGGACACTTGGAGAGTATGATGCTAACAAAGCAACCCCACCCCCACCCCCCCGCTTTGGGAGGGCGAGGGGCTTTCCTTCGGCCTGGTGGGGGGAGGTGGACGGCAAGGGTCTCCCAGCCACCCCCACCCCTCCTGGGCCATTAAACTGGAACAGGAGCATGGAAGGTTTCAAGCCAGTGCTGGAACACAGCAGAAATGTGGGTCAGCCCCACGGAGAGCGGCTGAGTCCACTTCCCTCCTCCTTCCGCTGCCTGGCCTGGCCCTGCTCCGTGGGCTCTGCTTGGCGGGAGACCCCTGTTCTGCTGCAGCCCCTCATGGCAGGCCCAGCAAGGCCACGGGGGGGGGGGCAGGGCTGGGCCTGGGGGGCAGACCTGGGGGGCTGGGTGACCCTCGGGGGTCCCTTCGATTCAGCCGCCCTGTGATCACTGTGATCATGGGAGTCTCTGTGCCATGGCCTGCCCAGCGGCCTCCGCACTTGCCTGACACGGCCCCTGAGGCCACTTAGGCTGGGGCCAGAGACCCCCGGCAGGCCGAGCAAAGGAAGGAAGGAAGGAAGGAAGGAAGGAAGGAAGGAAGGAAGGAAGGGAGAGTGGAGGGACCCCTCTTCACTTGCAGCCTCTGCCTAAAGCAGAGCCAACGGAGCCACCAGCAGCTCCAGAGCCTGAGGGAAGTGGAGCAATGGGCCTCCTTGCCAGGAGGGAAAACGTGGTGGCAAATAATCAAGGGGTTTCCAGAGGCAGAACAGGCAGGAATCAGCCAAGCGCCAGAACGGCTGGCTCTGCCTCCGCCTGCTGCCATGTTGGGGCTGCTTCAGGGAGGTCCAGCTGAAGAAGAGGAGTTTGGATTTGATATCCCGCTTTATCACTACCCGAAGGAGTCTCAAAGCAACTAACAATCTCCTTTTTCCCTTCCTCCCCACAACAAACACCCTGTGAGGTGAGTGGGGCTGAGAGACTTCAGAGAAGTGTGACTGGCCCAAGGTCACCCAGCAGCTGCAGGTGGAGGAGCGGGGATGCGAACCCGGTTCCCCAGATTACGAGTCTGTTGCTCTTAACCACTACACCACACTGGCTCTCCTTTTCCCCTGGGCAACTGAGGGGCTTCTGCTGGTCTTGGAAGCAGCCGGCAAACATTCCAGGTGAAGAAATGGCCACCTGTCCCTGGGCAGGCAGAGGACAAAAGAGCCGGCTGCTGCTCTTGTTCTTATTACATCTATGTGGAGCCCACATTTTCTTGAAGGTACAAAATGCAAAAAGACAGATAAAATAGAAAAAGCTAAAAACATAGGAATGCAAATAATCAACAAGTACAGTGGTACCTCAGGTTACAAACACCTCAGGTTACAGACTCCGCTAACCCGGAAGTAGTACCTCGGGTTAAGAACTTTACCTCAGGATGAGAACAGAAATCGTGCGGCGGCAGCAGCAGGAGACCCCATTAGCTAAAGTGGTACCTCAGGTTAAGAACGGACCTCTGGAACAAATTAAGTTTGTAACCAGAGGTACCACTGTAATTAAACACCAATAGTACAAACACACACACACACACACACAATTGCACTGAGGTACAAATCTGGACTGGCCAGCCAAAAAGGCAGCAGTGGGATATGCGCAGACCTGCAGGAGGGAGAGAGCACATCCTGCAGCAGGAAGGCCTCAGATGTTGGCGTGACTCAAAAGTGTCCAGCGCTTTAATTAATCCACCCCACCCCGGCTCAGGGCTCAGCACCAGCACCAAGGCATATTTTAAGCTCCCATTCATTTTGTGGAGAGGCAGGGAGGGGGAGGGGAGGAGAAGCTCCTGAATGGGCCCAAGGGGGCTGGAAAGGGAGAGTCCATGGCCAGTTCTACGAGGGGACGGAGGGGGAGCGGCAAGCTGGGTGGCGCCCAGTCCCTAGAGTGGGAGCGGGCACCGTTCTTGGCATTGGCAGCAGGTGGGCCCTGGATGGGGGGGCAAAGGCAAGTGGGCATGGCGGGCAGTGGAGGCGGTCAGGGTCTTCACACACACACCTCAGAGACACACTTTGTCCCAGTTAGGGACACACACTCATTAATGCATACATTCAGATTCACCCTGACACCCAGTGCCCCCCCCATTCCCCACACCCAGAAGCTCCCTCCCTCCTTGTCTCTATCACTTTCTCCCTCTTTTCCTCACATCCCGCCCCCATTCCCACTTCCCCCCACCTATCTAACATCAGCCATGAGCTAGAATAGGGCTGTGATAGGTTTGGGGGCTCAGGCTGGATGGTGGCTGTCCGTCAGGGATTCTTCAGCTGCAACTCTTGCACTGCAGGGCTTGGACTAGATGGTCTTTGGAAACCCCTCCCTGCGCTACCATTCTGCGAATGCCCTGGCTCCCTCCCAAACTGTGCGCAGAATCTATCAGAGGAAACCAGCCAGACCAGTTCCTTTGCTCAGGTAATGGCCTTAGCCGGCCAGTTAAGGACTAGCATTTGCATGAGGGGGAGGCTGCCCTTTGCCCTAGAGACAAAGGGGGGCAAATCCCACCCCCAATTGGAAGCAGGACCACCTTGTAAGGGAGGCAAACAATAGCCAGAATGTTTTGTGTTGAGTTTTTGGCTGATGCTGGAAGCTGGAGAGACAGAGGTCAGCCTTGCTCAGTGCTGGATCCCTAACAGGGAGGCAGATCTGCTGTGAGCCCCTCTGCTCAGGTTGCAGATATGCGTAAATAAAGCTGTATATCCGAAAATAAGGTTTTCAAACAGAGGTTGGAAGGCCATTTCTCAAGAATTATTTAGCTAGGATTCCTGCACTGCAGGGGGCTGGACTAGATGACCCGTGGGGTCCCTTCCAACTCTACAATTCCATGAAGACACCGCACTCTTCAGTGACCCTCATTCCAAGGAAACTGAGCCCTGGGGAGCCCCCAGAGTCTCTCCCTGCTCAGAGATTGGGGTGCAGGCAACCGGGGGGAGAAGCTGGTTGTCCTCATGTGGCTGGGCTGTGGGGCTGAAGCCTCCCCATGAACAAAGGACCGCAATCTTAACGACAATCTGGGAGGGCAAGTCCTCCCTGCCCAGCTCCTCTCCCTGGGCAAAAGACCACGGCCCCCTCCCCCACCTCTGGCTGCCATCAGCATCCGTCCCAGAGGTCCAGGGACAGGCCCAGAGCCAAGGGATGGAAAGACCCGCCTGCCTGCTCCCAGCCCTGAACAGGGACCCCCATGGGGTGTCCTGGGGGGGGGGGGAGTGCCGTATGAGAAATTGATGCCTGGGGGGGAACAGCTTGGAGCTACTGACCTCTTTGGGCTAGATTTTGCAAGGGGGGGAGACTTGGCATTGGTGACCAAACTGCTTGCCTTGTCGCCTCCTGCATAGCCCAGCTCTGGCTGTCCGCTCTCAGCTTTTGTAAGGCTGGTTCCACGGAGGCAGTTATTTTGCATTTATTTATTTCTTGCAAGTCAAGTGCTTGACTTCATTTAGGGGGAAGCTGTCAGGAGTTGAACCCAGGACACCTCCATCCCTCCAGGCTCTTCCAGATGCAGCCACAAGAGGGGAGGACCTTTGAGAGCGGCTGGAGGAAGGGAGGCTGGCTGGCTGGCTGGCTGGCTGTGCCCCCTCTGCTGCCACACCCTGCACTCCAGAGCAGGGAGGGCATGGGAACCCCCACTGGCATTCTCCCCCCCCGGTGGGCCCTCAGCCCTGTCCCCGGCAGTGGCCCAGTGCAATGGGACGACAACCCCTCTGCAATCTTCCCTGGGCCAGATCTTGCCTGCCTGCTGTTCCCTCGCAAAGAGGAGGCGGCCTTCCTTGGCCCAGCTTGGCTATGGTGGGGGTACCCTGGGCCTTCATTTCTGGGGGCTCTGAAAAGTTTCTCTGTGTGAGGCAGGATGGGCTCTGAGGGCAGAGGCTCCTCCCCAGGGTCTTCCCCCTTGGCAGAAGGGGCTCCCTCCTCAGCCGCCTGCCTCCTGGGGATGCCAGAGGGGTGGTTCAAGCAACTGTTTCAGTGGGGGGGCTTATTGTGAGGAGCTTCTGGGCTAGTCTTGGGGGCTCCTTGGCTTCCTCCAAGGAGCTGGCCTGGGGGGCTGCTGGGCGGTTCTCCCTGCCCCATCTTCTCCTCCCCTTGAGCCCTGTGAGGTCAGCTAAGCTGAGAGAGGCTGAGCTGCAAGGCTGCGGTGGGATTGGGACCCAGCTCTCCCTGGCCCTCCTCTGACCCCCCAACCACTCCAGCATGATGCCTCCTGCTCCTTGCACTGCAGGTTTTATGCTGGTTTCTGTTTGTGCTTCCACATTAAAATGGAAAAGCCTTTCCAAAGGGCAGGGGCCAAAAATAATCCCTCTGCCTTGCCACCCCCCCCCCCCCGTTGTAAAGACCCCTCCCCTTGTTTGGGCCTGCTGGTTCCTTGGTGGCAAAGGAGGACCTGGGGAGGCGGGAAGAGGCTTCTTTCTGCCCTGTTGTTGTGGCAGCAGCAGCGTGTGCCTGCCCCACACCTTGGCCTGGCAGGCAGGGCTGGGCCGTGTGTCATCGCTGGGCGGGGTGGCCAGCTTTAAAGCCGAGGCAGCAGCACCTGTGGGACAGTCAGAAGAGGCAGCCGGACGAGACAGAAGAGATCAGAGCAGCGCTTCACCAGGAGCCTTCAGGTAGGGGCTGGGGGCACCTTCTGCAGGGCACCTGGGAGGTGCCAAGGCAGGAGAGACGGAAGCAGCAGTGCCTTCCTGCTCAGATCCCTCAAGAGGAAAGTGGTCAAGGGGATGCTGAGGCCCCTGCTAGACCCCCAGAATGGGGCCGCCCAGTCAGGGTCTGGCAAGAAGCCCAAGGATGAGGGTGGAGGCGCCATCCTCCCCAGCGCCCTCTCTCCAGCGAGGCAGCTGGCAGACCCCTCACCCCCTTGAGTTCAAGACCTCCCTATCCTTACTCAGTTTAAAAAGCTGTTGGTGGAGAGGAGAGCAGGAGTGCCTTTCCGACCCACTTAAGTAGGGAAATGAGGGAGGGATGGAGGAAGGGATGGAAGGGGGCTCGTGTCAGGTGCTGAAGCAGCCAAGTGGAGGCTGGAGACCAGACCAGCCCCACACGCAGCTCAGTCACCCACTGAGCAACATTGAGAAGAGGCTGCAGGCTTCTCTGCAGGAGCGCTCCCACCCAGACATGGCTGCAGCCTCCACTCTGCACCCCACTTCAAATGGGGCCCTGGGCCACAGTGATGCTTAGAGGGCAAAGCTGCAGGTTCCAGCCTCATGGGGAGCCCACAGGAGTGAAATCAGAGGCTGGCCAAACTCCCTCATTCAGACATGCCCCAAGTGTGGCTAAGACACCTGCCTGTTTGTCCCCCCGACTCTTCCCCAGCCCCAGGGGCTGCAGGATGCAGAGCAGGAGCAGGAGGAGGCGCCCAGTGCCTTGTTTGCAGGAGCTCAGCACCAGGGAGAGGAGGCTGGGCTCCTGGAGGGACCGCCTGGCTCAGCTGCTGGCCAGGACCTGGAAGTAGCAGCAGTGGGGTGAGAGGCACTCAGGAAGGGTCTGGAATGGGGTGCTTGTCAGGAGAGGAGAAAATGAGGGGCAGTCCAAGGGTGCGAAGGGGATAAGGGGCAGATCCTGCTGGCCTTAGTGGAAGGCCAGCGGCTGCACCAAGCAGTGCGGGGGGCACCCCTCTCTGCACCCGGCTGCCGCGGCCTCAGAGGGGTGGCCGATCCCACTACCCTGCGTTTTGGTGCCAAGTCCCTCAGGCCCACCCGGGCCAAGCCAGAGCGCAGCCTCTCCCCGCTTCCCTGTGCTGGGCTCATGCCAGCCCCACAGGTCCCCGGAGAGGCTCAGGGGCCAGCTGACCATTAGGCAAATTGGCCCCAGAGGCAGGAGGCCATTTGGGCAGTTGTGCTCCCGGCTCCTCCTCCTCCTGTTGTTGTTGTTGTTGTGATGTTGTGTCATTTCCTCTGCTTGGCTGGCCCTGGCAGAGCAGGTGGCCTCTGCCTCCAGGACTCCAGCACCGGGCCAGCCTCCTCGGGTGGCAATTAGGCGGGCATGGAATGTGGTTGGCTGCCCCCTGGCACTCCAGATGCATCCGGCTCCCGCACCTCTTTCCCCAAAAGACAATTGGCCTGTCACTCACCTGCAGGAGCCCAGAGGGAGGGAGGGAAGCAGGAGGGAGCAGGCAGCCGTTCTGAGCCCCCCGGGATCCATTCAGCCCTTTCTCTGCTGGAGAAGCGAATGGACACCAGGCCTTGAAGAATGCAAGAGTGGGGAGGGGGTGGAGAAAGTTTTCTCCCTCTCGTGATCGTAGATTCATTGAAGTTGGAGGTTGGGCGTCCTTCCACATGAAGCACACGGTTAAAACTATGCAGGAGGCAGTCATGGCTGCCAACCCAGATGGTCTTCATTTTCATCATCATTATCATTAGCCCACCTTTTCCCCTGATGGGGCTCAAGGCAGCTTTGAAAGGGAACCAGGCAGACGCAGGGAGAATGAGCCTACTAGCCAGGATGGCAGCATCTTTTCTTGGCTGCCAGAGGTGACCTGCCCCTGACTGCTGCTTGCTGGGAAGGGGGAGCTCTGCTGCTGCGGCTGCTCTTGGGGGGCTTCTTCCCTCTGGGACCCCCTTTGCCCACTGAGAATGCTGGATGAGGGGCCCCCCTCTGGCCTGATCCAGCTGCTGACATTCTTCTGAGGGCTCTTGGCTGCATTTGCCACAAGAGCCCTGGAAGCACTTTTGGGTTTTCACTGCAGTCTGGTGTGTCATTTATTCCACATTTCAAGGACAGCCCTGCAGGATCAGGCCCAAGGGGGCCCCTCTAGCCTGGCCCTAGTTTCCCGCATGGCAACCCAGATGCCCCACTGGGAAGACCGCAAGCGGGACATGGAGGGGGTACAACCCCCCTCACTGCTTTTTGCACTACAGCACCTGGCACAGTGGGGTAGACCGCCTTTGCAGACAGAGGTTCCACTTAGCTCTAACTGAAGCCGTAACAAGAGTCCCACTGGCCAAGCAGATGCCCCACAGGGAAGCCGGCAAGCGGGCCAGGGGGCACCCACAGCCCTTGCCCCCCTTGCCTGCTGTCTTTGGTCCCCAGTGACTTTGGCACTTCCTGAGGACTCCCCTGTGCCTGCATTCTGTGGGAGGGGTTCAGGTACAGGCTGCAGATGGAGGTTTGCCAAGCTAAAGTGGATTAAATCCCTCTGTTACCTGAGTGCCACAAATCCACTTTTAAAAAGCAGCAGTGGTTAGGAAAGTGAAGCAGAAAAGAGTGTGGGATGGAGGATACCCAAAGCGCTGCAAGGAAATTGGGAGAGGGGAGCAGGCATCAACGCACAACTTCCCTGCAAACAGGTAAAGGTAAAGGGACCCCTGACCATTAGGTCCAGTCGTGGCTGACTGGGGTTGCAGCGCTCATCTCGCTTTATTGGCCGAGGGAGCCGGCATACAGCTTCCGGGTCATGTGGCCAGCAGGACTAAGCCGCTTCTGGCGAACCAGAGCAGCGCACGGAAACACCGTTTACCTTCCCGCCGGAGCGGTGCCTATTTATCTACTTGCACTTTGACATGCTTTCGAACTGCTAGGTTGGCAGGAGCAGGGAGAGAGCAACGGGAGCTGCCCTAGGCTCTGTGGGTTAACCCACAGTGCCACCCGCGTCCTGTTGAGTAAAGACTGAGTTTAATCGACCCTCCGTGTAAGCTTTGTGTGAGTAAATTGGGAAGGATGCAAATTCATGGCAGAGGGGGCTACTAGCGATTCCTGCCTTGCAGAAGGGAGGAGTAGATGATCCTTGAGGTGCCTCCTGACTATGCTCCTATTGTTCAATGATTCTGTCTCCACAGTCACAGGAGGGGAGAGTGTTGCTCTTGTGCCTGAGTCCTGCTTGCTGGTTTCCCCCAAGAGGCATCTGGGGGGCCACAGGGAGAAGAGAATGCTGGACTTAGAAAGGCCCCTTTCCAGCAGCGTTCTTCCCACCTTCTTATGCTCACTAAATAGGTGGTTGGGGAATGGGGCTTACCCCCCCCCGCCCGGCTGCCCCTCCGCACTGGCCATTGCAGGGGGGGGGGTGAGTGGGAGCCAGGGGCCAGTGGGTCTTCTCTGCCCTTTCAGCTCAGGCTGAAGGCTGAGGGTGTTTGCATCCAAACCTGTCTTTGTGACTCTGTGACTGAGCAGGGAGGGCAAGTGCTTGCCCCAGGCACGTTCACACAAACACACAGAGGAAGAAGGGTGTGTGCAGTTCCTGTGTACACGCGCCCATCCCCTGAACCCTGCCTCCTGTGTGGTTTCCCCAAATTGTTCCAAAGGAGCCCTTTTCCTCCACTTCCTCCCCAGCAAAGTGGCTTTGCTCCACCACAGCCCCAATTAGGTGCATTTGGGGCATTACCTCACCAGGCAGGCAGCCCCGCTTCCAATTTGAGCACCAGATGAGCCAAAGCGAACAGCCGCCAAGCCCCAAAACACGGCAATTAACATAATGACGCAGGTGAGTCGACAGCCTGTGGACGGATGGATGGAGGGCCTGCAAACAGGTTTCCTGGCTGGGGGCAAAGACAGGGTCACATGCCTGGCCGGACCAGTCTGGCTGAGCCCCGTGGCACAAGCAGGGTGCCCTCTTTGTCTTCTTCTTCCTCCGCCCGCGGCCCCAGCAGCTTAGCGTCAGGTCCCACTTGTCCTGAGCCGGTGGAATCCTCAGAAGCAATTCCTGGCACAGGAGGTCTCAGCAGAGTCCCTCCTCCAAGGCAGCCTGGCCAGGATTTCTGCCCCAGGACCAACCCCCCCCCCCCAGCACCAGGCATCATCACCAGCAGGTACTGAACTGGCATAGTTCCCCACCTGGTGCCTGAATAGTCCACAAAGGAGGGGCAGGGCTGGCACAGGAGTGGGTGAGACTTGCGGGGAGGGGACATGTGCAGGAGAATCACCCTAGAGAAGTGTCTGGGAAGGGGCTTGGTCTGCATTCTCACGTTTACCCTGGGAAGTTTCCTGCTTGGCAGGGGGTTGGACTCGATGGCCCTTGTGGTCTCTTCCAACTCTATGATTCTATGATTCTAAGTGGCTGTGAGCTAGCCTTCTCTAAGCCAATGCCCTCCTGGCGTCCTGGACCTTCGCTCCCACTGTCCCACCTGCTGGCGATGCCGCAAGGGCTGGTGGGAGCTGCAGTTCCAGCAGGGCCCAGTTGGAAGACGGCTGTTGGCATTGCCAGATGCTTGGCCTGTGCCGCTTATCCCAGAGATGGCTGGAGCACACCTCACGGGGCAGTTGTGCATCTCCCGGCAGCCAGCAAGGGAGCAACCTCTGCCCAGGGCAGGATCCAGACGGGCCAGCCAGGGCCAACTTTACAGGTCTGCATTTGGCCCAGACAGCAGGTGCTGGAAGGCCTAGCACTGTGTGGAAATGCTCCCCTGCCTGCCTGGCACTGGCTGCTCTCTCTCCTTTGCAAAACAGCCTCCATTGTGACCCCCAAATGGGAGCACAGTTGTCTCACAAAGCCTTTTCTGCCTCTCTTTTCCTCCAGAGACTTTCTTGCTTCCCCCTGCACGATCACCCACCCAGAAGACACGCCTGGACCCCCTTGCACTCGAGCCATGCCACAGGACAAGCACCTTCCCAAGGGGGGCACGGACGCAGCCCCAATAGTCCAAGTCCGCGAAGAGCCACGCTGGCCCTTTCCGTGTGCGACCGACCTGAGCGAGGACCATGTCATTGCGGGCATCCTCAAGGAGCCGGGCAAGGAGAGGCTGAGCATCCGGCAAGCCATGCACCGAGGCCTCCTGACCCACGGGACAGGCCTGGCTCTGCTGGAGCACCAGGCCGTCTCAGGCTACATCGTGGACTTTACAAACAACCGGCTGCTGTCTGTGAGGGATGCCAAGAACGCTGGCCTGGTCGACCGAGAGCATTTCAACACTCTCCTCATTGCAGAGAAGGCCGTGACAGGCTACACTGACCCCTTCTCCGGGAGCAAAATCTCCCTCTTCCAGGCCATGAAGAAAGGCCTGCTCATCAAGGACCACGGCATCCGCCTGCTGGAGGCTCAGGTTGCTACGGGGGGCCTCATCCACCCCATGCACAGCCACCGCCTCCCTGTAGAGGTGGCCTACAAGTGGGGCTACTTGGATGCGGAGATCTTCCACCTGGTCTCCAACCCTGCCAACCACACGAGAAGGTGCTTTGACCCCAACGCCCGCGACAACCTCACATACCTGCAGCTCCTGCCCAGGTGCTTTCCTGACCCTGTCACTGGGCTGCTGATGTTTCAGGTGATGGATAAAGGGTCTGTCCATGTGGACGAGAATCTGCGGAGGTGCCTGAAGTCTGCCACGGCCCAAGTCCACGTGGGGCTTTTCCAGGGCGAAGAGGTCTCCATCTGGGACCTCCTCTTCTCCAGGTACATCCCCCGGCACAAGAGGCAGGAGCTGCTGAGGCAGTACAAAGCAGGCACCATCACCCTTGAGGAGATCACCCAGACCCTCACGACCATCATCACCGAGGTGGAGGCCAGAAGCAACCCTGGCTGTGTGAAGAAGCAAAGAGCCACCCAAACAACAGCGTTTCCGGAGGCAGAGAAGAGCAAGCGGACTTCCGAGCGGGACGAGATGGTGAAGGCGCTCAAGTCCAGGGTGGTCAAGGTGCCTGCTGGGGAGCTCTGTGGGAGGAAGGTCTCTGTGTGGGACTTGCTCCACTCCAAGTACATCCCCAAGGGGAAGAGGAAAGAGATCCTGAAGCTGTACAGGATGGGCATCCTCAACATGGAGCAAATTGAGACGGTGGTCACTGCCATTGTGGCCAAAATAGAGGAGGAGAAAGCCAAAGGACTGGGTCAGGTGACTGGCATGGCGAAGGGCGAAGGGGACAGAGCCGACCACCAGGAGAGGCAACTGAAGCAATCTTTACAGTTGGTGCGTATCCCTGTGACCTTTGGAGAGTTTAAAGGGCAAAGTGTCCCTGTGCTGGACCTTCTCTATTCTAAATATTTCTCCCAGGAGAAAAGACAGGAGCTGATGGAGCTGTACAGGACAGGGGTGCTCAGCCCTGGACAAATGACACTGGCTGTTAGTGAGACCTTGGAAAGAGCAGAAGCCAGCAAGAAGAAGTTCTCCATCAGAGTGAAAAGTCGGAGCCGAGAGTCATCAGGAACCAAAGAGGCCAAGGAAGCCAAGGAGGTCAAGGCTGCGGACCCCTCGCCCAACAAGCAATCGGATGATGTGCTGAAGGCCAAAATGGTCACTTTGCCCGCCGGAGAGTTCCGGGGCCAGCAGGTCTCCGTGTGGGACCTCCTTTTCTCTCACTACATCACAAGAGACAAGCAGGAAGAGCTCCTGAGGAAGTACAGAGATGGCCAGTTCAGCGCTGAGGATCTCTCCTCCATGCTCACCATCCTGGCTTCGCTGCACGACCTCTTCTACACTCTGGAACAAACGGCAGCAAAGGCCCCGGCCCAGGAGGCAGCCTCTTCCCCAGCAACATCACTTGAGGAAGACGAGGAGGAGGAAGATGACGATGATGATGCTGATGATGACGATGATGACGACGATGAAGGGCAGGATGAGAAGGACAAGGTCTTGAAGTCCAGGATGGTCGAGGTCCCTGTTGGCGAGTTCCGTGGGCGCAAAGTGTCCGTGTGGGACCTTCTCCACTCCAAGTACTTCCCAGAGAAGAAAAGGAAAGAGGTCCTGAAGTTGTACCGGATCGGGATCCTCTCGGCTGACCAAATGGAAAAGGTGGTCACGGGCATCGTCACCAGAGTAGGGGAGGAGAAGTCGGGCGAGGGTCGGCGTGCCAGCATCTCCAGCCAAGGGGCAGGAGCCCCCAGCGAGGGTAGGAGCGCCAGCTTCCCCCAAGACAGCCCCTCAGACAGGACGGTGGAGGTGCTCACCTTCGAGTTCCCCCTCGGGGAGTTCCAAGGCCGGAGAATCTCCATGTGGGACCTGCTCTTCTCCACGTACATCTCGGAGGCCAAAAGACAGGACCTTCTGGTGAGATACATCACAGGAGCCCTGAGCAGCCAGGAGATGGTCAGCATCCTCTCTGCCCTCGTCGTCGAGGCGCACAGGCAGAGAAGCTCCTCCAGCATCCCACACCTGTTTGGCCTCCTGCACCCTGAGGCCTCCTACATGATGTTTGGGCCGTCCCAGGCCCAGTCGGGGTCTGTGCACGACCTGCTGCAGTCGCACGAACAAGAAGCGCCCAAAGCCGGGAGGGTGACCTACAGTGAGATCACCATGACCACCACCGTTGTGCATGGGCCTGAGCAGAAGCAGGAGTAGCTCCGGAGCAAGGCAGCCGCCAGCAAGCGGCAGGTTCCAGAGCAGAGAGCTGCTGGTGGCTGCAGTGGGGGGGTCAGCAGAGCACCCCCTTCTGGGTGGGGGAGGGGGAAAGGGGAGGCCAAGAAGGGAGGGGGGAGGGCAGGTGATACTAGTGTAAGTAGGCCACTACAAGAGGGAGGCTGGGGGAGGGCGAGGGGGCTTAATTGGGGAAACAGAGCTGGGGCTCCATCCAGGCAGGCAGTTCAGCGCTGGCCTCATCTACAGGACAGACCGGCCAGTCCTGATGCAAAGAACAGTGCAATCTTCAGCCCTCCCAGGGAATTGGAGGGAGTAGCTGTGGGGGGGGTGTGGAGGGGGGTACCCAAAGGAGACCCCTTAGCTGGCCAGAAAAGGACTACTGGGGAAAGGACTGCCATGATGGCTAAACCTCAGAAATAACTTTCTGCTAGTAAGAGCCGTTTGACCATAGAACTGTCTCCCTTGGGAGGTGGGGAGCTCTCCTTCTTTGGGGATTTTAAATAATAATAATAATAATAATAATAATAATAATAATAATATTTTTTATTTATATCCCGCCCTCCCCAGCCAAAGCCGGGCTCAGAGCGGCTAACAACAGTAAAAGTAACACAGCATTCTAAAATCAATTCATAATCAAATTAATCGCAACCATTGGGCTAGAGTTCTGTGAGGAATTACCGAAGGAGGGGGTCAGACTGTGCCCTGGCCAAAGGCCTGGTGGAACAGCCCTGTCTTGCAGGCCCTGTGGAAAGATGTCAAGTCTTGTGACAGAGCGTTCCACCAGATTGGGGCCACGGCCGAAAAAGCCCTGGCTCTGGTTGAGGCCAGCCTGACCTCCCTGTGGTCCAGGATCTCCTAGATGTCCCGGATCGGGATCCTCTTGGCTGACCAAATGGAAAGGTGGTCATGGGCATTGTCACCAAAGTAGGGGAGGAGAGGTCAGGTGAGGGTCAGCGTGCCAGCATCTCCAGCCAAGGGGCAGGAGATTGGATGGCCATCTGTCATGGATGCATTAGGTGAGGTTCCTGCATTTCAGGGGGTTGGACTAGATGACCCTTGGATCCCTTCCAACTCTACGATTCTATGATGATGAGGTTGGTGCGTGTGAGAGAGGAAGAGACTCTGATGGGGCTTCTTCAGATGTGGTCCTGAGTCTGCTTCCCCTTGGCAGGGCGAGGAGGGGAACTGACCTCAGGGGCATCGCCCCAAACCAAGCCAGGATCCGCATGCAAGCAGGTGACCAAGAGCAGGAGGAAGTCGCCTGGGACTCAGCACCAACCTACAGCTCCAAAACATGCTCAGGGCACCATGTCCCAGGAAGCCCCCAATCCCAGTGGCCCCGCCAGTTGGGGGAAGGGGCTGGCTCTGCTAACAGGGCTCTTGGACCATTGGGTTGCCAGGCCCTTCCGTAGGGAGATGTAGTCAGACCTCCCTCAAAGCTACAACCAGCCACAGAGGGACAGTGCTTGGAAAGTCCTGGGGGGGGCAGGCAGGGAGTGTCCCCAAATGGTCCTAATAAGATGTTCAGTCAAAGTTAGGAAAGATTAAAGTTGACAACATTAGTGATGAATAAAGTGAGGGTGGAATGCAGGAAGGCCTCACCCCCCCCCCCCATTGGAGCAGTCATCTAGTCCAACCCCCTGCAATGCAGGAATCTCCACCAAAGCAGCCATGACAGGTGGCTCCCCCCCCCCAACTCTGCTTTAAAACCTCCACGGAAGGAGAGTCCACCACCTCCCTCTGGAGACAGGAGGAAAGCATGGATGTCCCTAATGTGAAATCCAGATATAGAAAGGGAAATATGGGGATCAGAAGGCAAGAGAGATTAAGGGACGGATCCTGGCAGCAGTTGCTCACTGGATCAAGTTGTGGGAGACCAGCATGGACAAGCTGCCCCTTTCTATTGGTGGCAGTAACCAGCGGGGGGGGGGTCATGGGTGCTCCCCTTTTGCTGACGCCACATTTGCCTACAGCTGAGAAAGAGGAAGAATGCCTGTCGCTGCTGACCAGTTCCCAGCATGCAGCGCTGCAGAATCGATGATGGGAGAAGCCATGAAAGGATGAGCAGCAGCAGAGCCACGCGGAGCCTCCCAGGGCGTTTCATGTGGGTCATTCGCTGATGGCCCCACAGAGTTCCTTCTTCCATTTTAGTCCCTGCCAATAAAGATATTTCTGGACCTTCTACCGGTAGCCTGATTCTGTACCCCTGCCTGGGTCCCAGAGGTGCTTGGAGCCAGGCCCAGTTCCAAAGGGCTTCCTTTCACCCCACAGATTTCAATTTCTCTTGAGGCCAGTTATGCAAATGTTTCATTTTTGTAAAGGACGTTTCTGGGATTTCTACCAGCTGTCCCTGTTGAGCAAGGACTCAGCTACACAGCTGCAAATAAAATGTTTAAAATGTGCTATATACAAATGTGACACTAGATGACGACAATAAGCTATGCAAAATTCAATGTATTTTCCAAAAACTTTTTTAAAAAAAGCATTTCACAGCGTTTTTTATATGTGTGTAGATCCCACCCAAGAGTGATTCTTATTCTGAGTCACCTGCCCTTCTGTCCAGCACCTGTCCCTTTGCCTTCTGCAAAAGCATTAGGCCTTGTTAAGATGTTGCTGACGTGCGACTCCCCAGAGTGTGAAGTGTGGAGTCATCCTGCCTCTCTTGGCTATGCACATAAATTCTTGCGCATAAACCACACAGTGCTGACTCTTTCAGACAGCAGCTGCAGACTAGAGTATGAATGTGGGGCAAATGACACAGTGCTATATGGAGCAATGCCCCAGTTCTCTGAGTGGCGAGATCTCCAGGGCTTCTGTTTCCTTGGAAGGAGGAAACTAGAGGCAGAATGGTGTTTTGTGACGTGGGTAATTTCCATGTATATGCAGGCTGAGCGCAGGTGCCCTAAATTCCCTGCTGCTCATCAGGTACCAAGGGGCACCCATAGATCCTCCAGAGAGTGGCTCAGCCCTCGGCCTCCTCCCCTCGGCCTCACCCCCCTTTCTGGTTGCCATTCCTCAGGCAGCTTCCTTCCTCCACAGCTTCACTTTCACAAGTGAGAGTCAGCACCTGACCCAGCTGAGAGAAGAGGTGGGCAGGTGGGCTTGCTCCTTCCAGGCTTGGAAAGAGCCATCATCATTATAGGGCAAAGTACTTGATCATCTCTGGCCATCCTGCTAGCTCCAAAAGCCCCCTCCTCAACCAACCCCAGTTCTAGAAGCATGGGCAGGAGGTCCATGGGAGACTGCTCAGAACTATCTTCCCATCTCATGACAATATTTTTTTTAAATGATATTTATTAAAATTACAGAAAAAAAGAATTACACAAAAACAAGAAAAGTAAAAACAAAAAACAGAAGTAAAAATACAAGAAAAATACAAAATACAAAGTACAGAATAAAAGAATAAAAAACACTTAAAGAAGAAAAAGAGAAAAATAGATCATTTTTTCCATACCTTACATTCATATCCTTGTTTCCCTGACCTCCTCATACCTCCCTCTTTTGTATTCCAATTCAATTTGTTAGTCCAGCAATTCCTTTCCCTCCTTTTTAATCCTGATCTTTAATCTTGATATATTATAACATTAAATTTTTACGTATTAAAAACCAATTTTTCCATATTCTTTTATACCATTACAGCTAGAAACCACTTAACTTCAATCCGACATCATTCTAACATTCATTAATTTTACAATATTTCTGTAAGTAGTCTTTAAATTTCTTCCAATTTCTTTTTAAATTTCTTCCAGTTTGGTCAGACTTCGAGAACACTATCCAACTATCTGTCGTCCCCTTCTCCTTGTGCCCTCCATATTACACCCATGTTACACCCCCCAAAACTACATCACTCATACATGATGGTTACATCATGAAAGGGGAGGTCTGGTGGCAGGAATCTGAGCATCCTGGACCCTGCCCCATGGTTCTCCTTGCCCTCCAACAAACACCCATCGAGTGAAACAATAGAGATGTTTACATTTCCCTGTTTCCCAGCCAAGTTCATCACACCCTTTTGTCTTCACCTGGGTTTGTTATTTCTGGAATGGCTACCTGTCTGGCCCTCAGGTATCAGGAGGCCAGGGATTATCACTCAGGCAGAGGGGCTGCTGAGGAGCTGAGCTCACAGGTCTATAGGAATTTCTGAAGTTTTCCCAGTCAGCCAGTACATAGATACATTTATCATTTGGTATCGTGCAGCAGAGGCCCTTTGAATAGATAGGAAGAAACTGTGATGAAGTGTTTTGTGCGGACAAATCAGAGAAGTCTCAAAAGCGATTGTGCTGATTTTGGTAGTGGGCTGCATGTGCATGATATCTGCTGGAGGGGCAACCCCACCAACCTATACATAAATTCCTGCAACTGTTTCTACTACTACAGACCAACACTGCTACCTCCCTGTAAACAAAATGAGAGGGGAGGGGGAGGGAGAAGGAATAAGCCAGACCTTGCCTGGAAAAGTTCCACAGCTGTTCTCAGGGTCAGATTTAGGTTTGATGAGGCCCTGAGCTACTGAAGGTAATGGGGCCCTTTATATGTCCAGCTGTCCTTTGTCAACAACAAATTGTCGCTGTTTTTTGGTTTGTTTTTTTTTTTTGTACCATATGCTATATGGTAATTTATGGTACATGGTAATTTATGTTGCCATGCAACCAGTCCATGCAGAATGTAAAGTAAAGGTAAAGGTACCCCTGCCCGTACGGGCCAGTCTTGACAGACTCTAGGGTTGTGCGCTCATCTCACTCTATAGGCCGGGAGCCAGCGCTGTCCGCAGACACTTCCAGGTCACGTGGCCAGTGTGACATCGCTGCTCTGGCGAGCCTGCACCAGAGCAGCACACGGAACGCCGTTCCGCTTCCCGCTGGTAAGCGGTCCCTATTTATCTACTTGCACCCGGAAGTGCTTTCGAACTGCTAGGTTGGCAGGCGCTGGGACCGAACAACGGGAGCGCACCCCGCCGCGGGGATTCGAACCGCCGACCATGC